TGGCCTCCGACCTAATAGCGATGACCTCCAACCTAGAAGCCATGGCCTCCGACCTAATAGCGATGACCTCCAACCTTGAAGCGATGGCCTCCGACCCGGATTTCGGAATTCCCAATGTGATGTCTGAAGACTCGACCAAGGCGCCAGTTCAGAGTCCGAGCACCTGGTTCTTCCTATACCTCCGACCCGCTTTGGTTCGAGCAGAATGCTGCGGTCATGGTTCCTGGTTGCCAAGGCCATCGAAGTTCTAGAATGATACAGTGTTTCTCAATGCCAACAATACGACCACTGAGTAATTGACTTCTCTACCCAGGCAGAAGCGATATGGATGTGTTCGGTGTGTGTGATCAGTGGTAACTTCGATGCATTCGTATACATCCGCCCTGGATCTTGGACATCCACCAATCCAAAAACATCACCAGTTAAATACATAGTAACATAGTATATATATAATTGTGTGTGTTTTTTCTCTCCAGTTTCCACCTTGGACATCCTCCAGTGTCTTTCCATTCTATCTACTCCAGGATGACTCCATATTTCTCCATCCACCAGATCCTATCTTCGCAAGCGATTCCGTCCGCGAAGATCGGCCCACACCCGTCGAGCGCATCGCACACTAAGATGACCGGCCTCCCCGACAAAACCAGACAAACAAGACCAGTGTTGGAACCAAAGGGATACTGATATCACTGATGACCCTTTCTCTGGGTAGTTGACTAGACATCTGTGCAATTTGACGAGTTGCTATCACCAAAAGGGACCGCATGGTTGTGGAACAGTTTCTTTGTCTTACCTTATCTCGGGGGTCAACTTATTGAACTTCTTGAAGTGGACAAAATATATAGTGTGAGCTAAGAATTCCATCTATGTCATTCACTCGCGTTCCCAAAGATACTGTGGATATGTGAAGCTACACCGGTAGTACTGCTGCGGCGCTACTGCAGAAATGCCTGGTACATCCTGGTACTGAAACCCAACTCTTGCATGACACTCCAGCTTTTCATCAACTCATGGCAAGCACCTCACTTCTTTTACTGGATCCATGTTGCACACATCTTCCTTGCTCCATCACCATCCCCCATTCCCCATCCACCCCCTTCGTCTACCCACCCCACTGAGCGCAGGTGACGTCGTTGCTCAGCTCCTAACACCTCAGCCCGACCATCGCTTACTGTTCGTCGCACCTCCACTGCGACTCCACAACTGTACAGTGCCTCGGCCGACCGGAAGACACTGCCTGGCCTGCGTTGCAAACAGCCATCGGTCTTTGCAGAGTCTGGTTGTGTCGCTGTTTGTCCTTGTCACTGAATCTTGTCATGTTACGTCATATTGGTCACTGGGCCTAGAAGAACGCTATGTGACCATTTGTTTGATGATTTGAAGCCTGTGCCCGTGTGCCCCAAGAATCTACTCTTTGGTGCGTATACCGGTAGTCTCCTCACGTTCCCATTGTTGTCCATTTGTTTCGCCCCAGGCACCTTGAGGCTGACCTACAACACTTTGAGTGAAACTTAATGTGAAACATTCTCAAAACATCCTCAAAGCCGTCTCTTGATGCGCATGGTCACCACCGAGTCACCACTGGGGCCGTGGCTCGGTGGTTTCCGGGGTGTCCTCGGTAGCCAAGAGTCGTCAACAATTGAGCATGTCGTGCTGAGTCATGCCTGGGTCCTTGTCCGGTCTGTTCAGGTATTAGTTCGCACATGTTTGCACTGATGCAGTCGACCCAATGAGCCCTGGATCTCTAGCACATTGACTCTAGGAAAAACCATGAACAGCCTAAAGTTGGGTTGTCCGAAGAAGAAGTCCAGACGAACACATTTGATCACTTTCACCCTATTGAAGTCGAGCAGCATTCCCTTTGATTTCTGGCCAAAAAGTTTGTTTAACCGGTCAACCCTTCATCTTCCACTTCTCCCTAGTAGGTTCCGCTCAAAACCTTGGTCACTGGCCTTCTGCAGGATGTGGCCCTGGCAATACGTTTCCATGACAGCACCACGAAAGCAGTGTCTTGCATTCAAAAAAGTGCCAAGGGTCCAGAACCTCAGAGCTTGGAGGCCATTGCTATTGTAGGTTCTTCAGACCTCAAGATTACCTTTTTCTTCCTTTTACTTTTGTTTCTTTTTCTTTCTTCTTCTTTCCCCTCAAGCACCCCTGGACGGTCGTGGAGTTGTGCCCTCTCGAAAAGTACCTTTGGACTGACATCCCCAGATTCGTTGGAAACGGGTTCCGGCGGATTGTTGGGTGGATCGTGGCGAGCCATAGGCGAAGCGGCGAAGCGATTTCTTTTCTTTAAACGCGTTTCCCATGCTAAGCCCATCGTTTTCTTGAAGACATTCGGGTAGGGATGGATAGATCGGATAGTGCAATGGGTGATCTCTTGGATGTTACAAGTACTTCTATCGCAAGTCAGCTTTGAACACCGGGTGATGACTCGAGGATCACTACGAACTAGAGGTACCTGTGCCACACTGCCATGCGTGACCAAGAATGGGAATGGGTTCGTGTGCCCCCAAACGATGCAGTCCCCGTGATTGCTTCTACCATTCATCCCTCGCAACTGTCATTGTCCGCTCCTCTATGTTTCTCTTTTGTTCCATCATTTCTTCTAGAGCAAGCTCCAAATCCTGCGTTCACGTTGTGAAATTGAACTTCGACCAAAAGAACATATTGTACCCGATTGTACCATTTTCCTCCTCTTGGCATGAGTCTGTTGACAAGCTCGTTCCTGCCCATCACCTCATTGGGAACCGGTGGTTTCGGAAAGGGAGTTTTTGGGGCAGCCAGGACCTGTACACTGGCAGTCCCAGCGGCTGTTTTCGGGCCGCGCGGGCCGTCACCGCTCCTCAGGTGGTTCAACAGATGGACTCTGCCGTCTGCGATGCTTCCCTGTTGGGCCTGCGTGAACTCCGGCGATGTCCCCAGCTACCATGAGCTACCCAATGGGCAGACTGAAAGATGGACCCTTGCGACATCTTGTGACTGTTGTCTTTGCAACCCTTATGTCAAAGGAATGCGAAAGCCATGGTTCTTGAGTCTCCTACCGAGGTGATGTTTTGCTCGTCATGGGATGATGTTTGCAGGATTCCGCAAGCTACAGTACATACCATGAATCTTCATTGTGCCACCCAACGCTTTGCCAAATTCTTTGGACAAGGCTCCCAGAGGGTGAGCCGATCAGCGAGAGGAGCACAGAGAATGAGCTGCATGGCACAGATGGGACATCAACATGTCGTCTATATGGTTGTCGATCTAAAGGTCCTAGACAGCATTGTGTATGACGATGACCCGGAACATATCAAAATCTCATTTGGCGAAAGTTTTTTCTCGAGTTGGCGAAAGTATTTTTTTGTTGGCGAAAGATCTGGCAAAAGATTAAATATGTACTTTTGTATGAATGTTCATTTGCTTCCTGAACAGCTGGTGGCAGTGACTCAGAAGTTTGATGAGCTGTGGAACTTAGATAACCTGCTGCTGCTGCGGCTACTACTACTACTACCACCACCACCACGACCACTACCACTACCACTACCACTACCACTACGACTACGACTACTACTACTACTACTATTACTATTACTATTACTACTACTACTACTACTACTACTACTATTCCTGCTCCTGCTTTGGGGGGGTGGCTTTGCCACAAAACTCTACCCCGCAAAAGGCGAAAGTTTGGCGAAAGTTCAGCTCAAGATTGGCGAAAGTTCACCCTGCCACATCTGACCCCCAGCCCAGTATGAGTAAGTTTGAGTGACCGGTTGCTACAGTGATTCTTCCATTTTTGATTCTTGCTGACACCCAGGAAAAACAAAAGAGACGTACAGGGTGTCAACAGTTAAGTAGAAGACACATGCTGACAAACAGTGAAGTTTCTATTTTGTGTTTGCCAGTAAAGAAGAAGCCATTGACGTGAACAAAACACAACAGACATGGCACACATAAATACAATATACTTCGGCGAAAGATAAAACGCAGGAAGGCAAAAGTTTGGCTAAAGTAATTGATTTTTTGGCGAAAATGACGGATCCCGGATAAAGGAATTTAGATCAACTCCCATATATTGATTTGGTGTGGCCGTGGCCAAGAATCATGGAATTTGGGAGACTCTGGCAGCCCTGGAACTTGCCTAGTTAGGGAATCATGTTCAAACGTCCGTGACAAATCCTTTAAACACAGAGCTAAGTTTGTTGGTTTGGTCCGACTTGAGTGGCTACTAAAAGAGCATTCAACAAAGAAGACTCCAACAGCGAAAAATCCGCAAGGTTTGTGCACACGTTTGGTGTGGAGAAGAACTTTCGGGGTGGCTAAAAGAGTGTGTTGGGTGTTCAGATTTCAGGTGAGTGTTGATCAACAGATTGAATACAATGCCATTTGCAGGATTTGCTTCCTTCCTTAAACGATTCATGCCTTGGGGTGGATTTGTGGGACAGGAAAAGCCAAGTGAGTCTCTTGCTTTCTACTTGGCAGACTGTTGGGATTATCGTTTGAAGCAACTGGATCTTGACTGAACTTGTCCCGGATCATACCTGGTCAAACCCAAGAGTACCACATCAAGCCCTTAAAACCGTGTCATAGTTGGAATCCCAGATAATACACAACTTTGGCGGATTCGGGTTTGTGTTTCTCAATGCCGAGGAAATTGTGTTATAGGCGAGATACTATTTGTTGATTAAGGCAATCCGAACCTCACCAACCACCGAACTCCTTTTACACGTGAAATGTGTGGGCGATTCCCAGATCTTCAACTCATCAGTGGCTGGGGTGGGTGAATGTATCGGAAATCATATCGACAAATCGCCCCGAAAGGACGCGAGTTAGACGGGAGCTCCCACCGGAGCTCCAGACCTGAAGACTGAAATGACCTGAAGACTAAGATTGATGATGGATGATAGGGTTCTCTGGGTCCTCACTTGCTGCGGGGTTCCCACAATTTGTGGGCATGTAGCCTTTGCCGGATCAACGTAGCGTTCGATGAATCAAGTGTCTCGCCAGAGCGACCACTCGAGGCTCATCCTACCTCCAAATAGCTTGTGCGCAGTGCCCACAGGGGCCATGGGGCCAAAGACAGGCTCAGCGGCCAGCACCATCATCAGCCACTGGACGACGGATGGGTCCTGGCGTCCAGGGGTGGGAGGTGAGTCGCAGTCTCCAACGATCTTCATGTTTGGTTCGGAGGTTGGTTGTCAAGGAGCACGAACCAAGTCTTTCGAAAAGCATAGAGCAAGAACAACAAAAATTGGTTTTGGAAACTCATGACCAAAACGTTCTTTTGTACAGGGGACGCCTCGAAGAACGACAAATTGTCAAATAGGGAAGTGAGCAACTGCCTTGAGCTAGAGTAGTTTGAATAGGTGATGTGGGAATTGTTGAAGCCATTTGTGGGATCATGAACTGCACAACGGAACAACGATGAATGTGAAGAAAGAAAATTCCTAGATCACTCGAGACAGAGAGAGCCGTGCAGCCAAGTGCCAAGTAGATCTGGATTTTGAGGTGTCCGGCCTTTGTCCAGTACTTCTTTCAGTGTGCCCACGCTGGTCGGTGCTCAAGCGATTGAGGGCATCTCTTGCCTCTCGGCAGTCGACAAGTTCGGTGGGTTGAAATTTTTAAAACCAGTGTGTTTCCGTTTTGACCCACAGCCAGGAGATCATATTGGAAAACCACAGAGACACATACAGTGCTACAGCCAACTCTTTTGGCCAAATCTCTTTTGATAACGAGGTGGAACAACATGTTTGTTTCCAGAAGGGCCGTTCAGAGGTTCAGGTATTCGTATATAAACGTTTGTCCAGAATGAATCAAGTTTAATTAGCTTATGTTAGTTTAGTTTGACATGTCAACATATCTGGTATTGATGGTTCTTCGTTGCCTTGACTGCCAGGTGCGCAGATGCACTTCTTGGTGGTGCAAGCGATTGAGAACATAGGACTGAGGGGCTTGGGATTGCTTGGGCAATAACATCAGAACTTGGCTCACTAATGCAGATGCACAAGGTGCGGAATCAAAGGCAGGAACTGTTGAGGAAAACTTAAAACTGGTGGTGAAAGTTTCTCGCCATAGCGGCCCAGAGGAGGGGGATAGGAAGTCGTTGACTCTGTAGTTAAAGGGAGGGAGGTCATCTCAGTGGTGTTGTTCGTCCGCTCAGTCAATTTCGTTGGAGCCATCCTGGCACCATATAGACCCAGTATGACCCAGTCCTGAACGGATGAGTTATCCCCCACCCCATCGACATCCGCCCCACAGGGAGTGTAGTGACCATTGATAAGTGGATGATGGAAAAAGCGCCTAAGAGACCGAAAACCTGTTGCTTGGGGGGCCCAAACCAGCTTCTCTAACCAGCCCACCAACGCCCGGGTGCTCACTCGGGCAGGACAGCAAGCAGGCCTGGAGAAGGTCAAGACCCTGTCGATTCGTCCGCCGCTTTTGCTGACGACGCTCGGGCTTCACGGAGGCGGAGGAACTCGAGATCTCCATGGCTTGCGCAACTCCCCCTGCTGGTGAGTCTGAGGGAAAAGAAGCACAACAGAAGGAGGGTTTTGCACGTGTGGTAAGTGAAGATAAAGCAGAAGGTGGGTTTTGTATGGTGCTTAGTAGGATATTTATGCATATTATTTATGTTTAGTGTTGCAGGTTGTTCCAACAACTGGAGAGATTTGATTCCATATTGTCACGGGTGTCAAGCCTTTGTTCCAATTCTATAGTATTCCTGTAGTATATAATATAGATGTATATATATATTATAGACAGGTTTAACAGATCTTAAAGGTGCAACGAGAATGGCGTAGGAAGACCAACTCTCAAATTAAGACGATTGAATGAGAGTCCAATGTTGATGTGAATGTGAATATGATTGAATATGTGCAGATATTTGCAAGTCGTTTGGATCAAAGCACAGGTGCCCAATTGATACTGAAGGTGGCATGCTGAATGAATTTGAGGGCTTGCTTTCCTTTATGTTGGTATTTATGTTGAATTAGGTGCCAATTGAAAATTGTTTTCGGTGCAGGATGAATCGTGCAAGACTCCATTGAACATGGCGGCTGCTTGAGCAAGAAACGATCTTAACTGTTCTCCAAAGTCAAAGTTAAGGTGTGGTTGTTGGAGAACTCAGCCAAAGGTAAACCTTTGACCATCTTTGACTCGAAAGAGAGCTGAGGGTACCCTAGTTTGGTGGTTCTTAAGCACCCACCCCTAAATTGACTTGGTGAAGAGGATCAACATGGATTATCTGAGACCCATGGGTTATTTAAGGGTTTACGCCAAACAGCGGACCAGCAGGCAGGAAAGATGAAGGAAGAAGAGAAAGGGGAGAATGAGAATGCAAAGTTCGGGTTTGTTTTTCTTTGGTCATGTGCAGTGTTCTTGTTGTAGAGCCAGGGCAAGCGGAAGGAGCAAGAACCGCAATATGTTAATTATGAAGCCCCACCAATAGAGGTGGGTGTATGGCTATGTATACCTCTCAAAACGCCCTGAAGCAGCGACGCCTAACTTCGTCCTGCAACCCCACTCTCTACAAAGTACAAAAGACACAGAGACCACAGCGGTGCGTAACCTCACTATGACCCAGCCACGCCTCTAACCCATCCAGTTCTGCACCATGACCTGTGAAACCCCCAAGACCTGTGCGCTGCCACGCCTGTAGCCTCTATTGTACAACATCCTACAACCGTTGATGTGTGATCCCTGGCGCAGTGAAAGTATTCTGACCTGGGTCCGACCTTGAGGAACGCGCTTCCGATCGGACGCCTGGGCTGGGACCCCAGCTGTGAGGTAGAGGAGCCACTCTGGTGTGATTATCACCCACAAGCAATACCTACAATGACAAGGTTTGGTATGTCAAGTATTGTTTCGTGGACGACTGTCTCCCTGTGAGCCAACCTGTAATTAGCTGCAGCTCATCCACGTTGACATTGCCTTCAAAAGATGACACTTTGCACAAAATGGCATCCTTCGAAGGGCAGCTAGTTTACTTTGCAGAGCAGGGTTGCAGTTTGTACTGGATCAGCTGGCAGCCCGAAGTGCCATTAAACTGCGGAGTGTGTTTCAAAGGTCAAGGGTCTTTGATGTTCTTAGGCTACTTAGGACCCAATTCTCGGGCCAGTTGGCTTGGCGGGTTGGACTCGAGACTTTAGCAGCTGGGGGGTCTCAAGGGCTCTGCAGACCAACTAATGCAGCAATTCCTGGCGGGTGCCAGATGGAAAATCATGGGGTTTGTCCTGTGATCTTCAAATATTGCCTATTTTTTAAACAGTTTGGACGAAGTTGTGTGTTTCTCATGGAGAATCCAATGTGACCTTTGAAAGGGCTATTTGCCCAGAAAGATCGATTTTTGGAAGCACCAAACTGCAGGATATGTCGTATGCCACTCTCGTTCTTACATATAATTGCTACTAGCGATGGCCTCCAACCCAATAGCGGCGATGGCCTCCAACCTAGAAGCAGATAGAGAAGGCTTCCTGGTCACCTTCTATCCGTCTATTGTTCCAACAGCTGCACTTCCCAGGTTTGCAGTTCGCCTCCGCCACCGTCACGGTCCCCGCCTTGCAACGTTTGTGTTTCTACGGCACCAGTCTGGCAGAACTCCGCCACTGGGGCCATATCTTTCGCGTGCAGCGATGCTGGCTTCTTCCGTGCAGGGTGTGGCGTAGGGACAGGTTACTCCGCCAGTGGTTGTACGAATGTGATCTAATCCCGTGTCCTTTGCTCGAAACTCTCGGGTCAAATTCGATGCTTTCAATCCTGAGTTGCCGAAATCACCCGGATTTGCAGAGTTTGGGTGGAAAGATCGATGGCCCCAAGGTTCCGAGGGTGTGGGAATAGAGTAAGTACAAACGAGTGTAATCCCCGTTGCTACCGACACTCTCAATTGGGTGTGGTTTCGCACGCTTTTCTCATTTTATATGACTCAATTAGTATAACATGTTATAACAACAAAAAGGATGACCTGCGTGAGTGTTGGAAGGTAGAAGGTTTGCTCAATCAATTTATATTGTTATAAGAGTGCTTTGCTTTAAGAGCAAACATGTCATAAACTAAGAGCAACGAAACAAAACTAGATGGAGCCCACGAACCCTCTCTCTTGCCACCCATTCTATTTACACAAGTTTAAGAAAAAATCCCGGTATGTGGTAAAGCACGGAGGATCAAATGAGAACATTGCATAATGACAGCAAAACATTGCAGTGCCCACAAAAGGCGTTGGTTTGAAACACCTCTGACCTATTATAACATTTCTATGTTTACAACTTTTGAAAAATATGAGCGTGCTTAACCTAATTATTCTCGGTAGCAAGAGGGTTTATATAGAGCATTGTTGCATCCAATTTGAACTGTTTCCGTTTCTTTGTCCCCTTGGGGTTGCGTTTTGAAGGGTTATAGTGGGAAGTCGTCCTCCAGGGACAACGTGAGACTTTTCAGGTGATGTTGTGGTAAAGTGCTCAGTTCCTCCTCAGTTGCGCCCCCCAAATTAAACAAAGACCAACAGGACATGTTTATGGTTGTGGACTTTTGGACTTGTGTGGTGTAGAATCAACATGGCCCATTTGACATAAGTCCAGTCACCCACAAACTCAATTTAAGGCCTCAATGAATTGATGTGCGACACGCTGCCCTTGGTGGCTGTTTGTTTGACAAAATGCTATTGAAGTCACTTAGTAGCCTAGTTTATTCTGCGTTGGTTGTGCTTTAATCGGGCAGATTCCATATGTTGTGTTGAGGATTTTCCGTATAATTCGCTGAGGAGTTTTTTGAGGGATCCCAGTGCGAGACTTTGCACTTAGCCTACCAAAAATTTGCTAGAATCGTGTTGCCGGGTGTTTGAATCAGACGCTCATTGAGAATACCATTCAAGCATCAAACTGCTATTTGGAGATCCCAGTGACTGTGCCAAGTGTTTAAGCATGAGTTTCAACAATTCCTTCAGTGCGCCTCCATCGCTCTGCCCGGCTTCCCAGGTCGAGGCTTAAACTTGTGTGCTCAGCTTGCTGAGGGACCTTGGAGTGGGAAGGTGGGGTCCGCCGTTGGGAAACAATCGATTGCTCGGTATGGGAGTCATTCGCAAGGTCCGTTTGCATGCAGGATTTGTTTTGTCATACCCGGTAAAGGTACATCATCTTCCAGACATTCCATAGGTTTGAGGCTGGTCTTTTGGCAGGAGAGGGGGAGAAGGAGGAGGGAGGGTACACTAAGTACAGTAGCTCAGCTTTCAACCTGTGATCAATCTGTGATTCATGAGTAATGTTCTTCAAACAAAAGCTATCTACCTAGGTCCACAGGCTGCACAGGGTTCCAAGAGCCAACACATCATCATCATCATCATCATCATCATCATCATCATCATCATCATCATCATAATCATTCATCCATCATCCATCATTCATCATTCATCATCCATCATCCATCATTCATCATTCATCATCCCTTGTTACGAGGACTCTGTTGATTCCAGTCTTATTGAAAGCAACTCGGACAGTTCATGGTCAAGTAATATAACTACTATAATCATAAAAAGCAACACCGGGTTGACAGTGAAAACAAGTGCACCGCTCAACTAAGGAATTCTCAGCGATGTTCTTTCTCTTTTTTTGTCCAATTGGATCCAATTGCTATTTGTGGGTCACCCATCACGCCCAAATCTCAGCACTTCAGTACTTAGAAGGTGTTGTTTGGCTCTTATGCCGAGGAGGAGTAAGAGATCGTTCTTCGGAGGAGCGGCCCACTATGGTGCAGTGTCCAGGGGCAGGCCAAGACCACTTGAAGAGACCAGCTGGTCGGGTTCCGCGGCAGGAGTTCCTCGCTGGCGACGATGTGGTTGACACCACCGGGAATGTTCAGGGAGACGAGGCTGACAGGGAAGGGACCTCATGGAGCTGTCACAGTCACAAAGTCAGACCGGAAAAAACAAGGAACGAGACGAATTGGGGACGAGCTGGTTTTTGTTTCTGTTCTGCTCAGTTCAGGCTTGAGAATCATGGCAGATTACGTCCTTTGAATAGGCAAGAAGTGACCGAGTCTCTTGGATCTTTCACAGGCCCCTGCCACTTCTGCGTGTTCATCTACAAAGCACATGTTGTTTCAATCATCACTTGTCCCTGTAGCCTTGAGTACTCTTGGGGACCATCTGAGTTTTGGTTTGAACTTCTCGGGAAACCATGTAAGTTGCTCCCCCCATGTACGTTGCTCTTGAGAACCCAGCTTTGCCTACTGTACTGCGTGTCGGCCCATGTGTTCCTCCTCATGAGGCCAAGGTGCTGGAGCTACGCATCAGCAGCAAAGGTGCCGCAGCAGCTCTGAACTTGGAGTGCCTGGGCCACGGCGAGCTGCGCTGCTAGGCAGATGTGCTAAAGCTGGATCAAACCGGACAGCTTGCTGCGCAGAATTGGGAACCTGAGGGACCTGAGGAAGCTGAGTTCAATTTGTGGGGTTGTGGATTGAAACATGTGAGAAGTGATAGAGGTCTCATCTCCCACATGTTTAAAGGCCATCTAGTTGAACAGTTGCCACGACCCGGAGCCCGGAGCAACGCGCAGGGTTTTGTGGTACATCCCGGTGGAGGCTCCATCACCTTGGAGCTTGGGGGACTTGATAAGATTGCCACAGAGCAAAACCTTCGAACCCCTAAGTGTCATCAGATGTAAATGTTCCGCTTGGTCGGCCTGTCAAGCTTTCTAGCGCCAAAGTGTATCTTCAGGGTGTGAAACCTCTTCCGCGATGCACCGAGGCTTGAGCTGTCCTCATTGGCTCTTGGACCGAAGTGGTCTTAAGGAGTGAGTGGAGCGTGGCGGGTGACCGGTGTCGAGCATCGACTTGGTGAATCGCAGCAAAGAGCCATACGCTATAGCCGTGTCTTTGGTTCAAGAATGGTTAGCAAAATGCTTAGCAGAGTGGTTCGCAGATCTTAGCGGCTACACGAGTTGATGTTGATCCTTCACCTTCTTCATCCTTTCCCCTGTCGCACACTGCTTTGGATTTCCGAGGTGCGGAAGTTAAGTTAAGCTTCCACTGGGTGCGGTCAAGATAAAGAACCAACAATAGCAAAACTATATTGCAGCACAACATAGTACAAACATTGGAAAACAGAAAGGACAAGCAACAGGGGAACAAAAAGGACAACCGGTTTTCCTATTTTGTTTTGTCCTTTGCTTTTCCTTCTGCAGATCTTGCAGAATCCTGGAAACCACTGGGAAACAAATAGGAGACAAAAATAGAGAAAGTGCGTGTTCCTTATGTTTCCTTTGTGTTTGTCTTTATGATTCTTTATGTGCATCCTTGTTTTCTCAACAAAAATCAAAGCTGTACTACTTTTACAACTTTGCAATTTTCAATGCCAAGTTTGATTTTGCACAAGATGATAGCCCGAGGGTAATTTCTTCCATGCTCTACATTACGTTCACTGATCGTCAGCAAAGCTTTAGCGCTGTTTTGCTACTACCAACGGACCCACGGTGAGTTGTGATATGTTTTGATGGTATTTGCGGGATACACACACACAGTCTAGATTCTATGTCGGCTTCATGCTTCGTTGGGTCTTGCGTCGAGTTGCCCTTCTTCCAGATCACAACTCAGGGCGAGGATCACTTGAAACTTGAAACAAGTCACTTGTTGTCCTATTCGGAACATCCCATGGCCACCTCGTCCCACATGATTGTTGACGAGGACATCCCCCGATATGGAGATGTTTGGCCACACTGGTTCTGAGTCTCTAGGAGGAGAGCTATATAGAGTGGAGCATCCACGATCAATCAACTGCCCAACCCGATTACTTCCGCCATTGAGGCGCCACTCTCGTTTGTGCCATTTGTTCCTTCAGGAGACCAGCTACGGACGCTTGGAGGTTCATACCAGAGGGGCTCCTCTGCCAAGCCTGGAGGGCGTCACCCTGCCGCCCGGCAAAAGTGGCGACGTGGCTGTGGCCGCGTTTTGGTGGCTACCCCACCCCTTTCCAGTACCTTCAAGTAGAGGCCCGGAATTACTGCTGATCATATCTAAACATCTAGTTACTAGTCATCAACGGTTTCCAGGTGGGGGCAGCGTTCAATCGTTGTTTTCCTCAACATATACTTGGAAACATGCCACAATTTGGCTCAACTTTCATGTTTACAGTGTCCAGGCACTAGAAGCTTTAATTGATGCATTCATGGAACAGCTACACAGATGTGTGTATATATACTTATAAATATGTATATATATATATATACATGTGTGTGCAGTGTGCAGATCTTGATAAATCAATCGTCGACGAGAGTCGAGTGGAAGCACCTTACAAATTACGTGGCAGCGACAGGGAAGATGATGAACGGCGATGTTGTCTAGATTATATAATGTTATAATATATATATATATACATAATTCAACACAGGGTGTCGATCCTTTTGTACTGTACTTACTCCCACAGGTCTCTCCATGTTCTATCTGCAGCGGTGTCCGCGGCTTGGGTCAATGAGGTACGCGCAAATCTAAGCACTGTCGAGGTTCGATGCTGGTGTACTTCAGTGAGTAGGAATTATTAATATCAATATAGATGCTCAGTCTACAACGGGTTATGGACTGATGAGTAGTCACTGGTCAAGCATGACATCAGGCATTCAAATTTGCCCAAGTGGTCAACTCATGTTTTAGCTACTGCTCCAAAAATTAGAAGGTCTTGTCTTTTGAGCCACGTCTATTTGAGGCTGCCATCGGACTGCTTTGAGACTCCTTGCGACTTTGTCATTCGAGGCCCGAATGAGATACCATGGTTTCCCACCACTAGGCCGACGAAGAGCGACAGTGGCTAGCCTGTGGCCAGAAAATATACATTGAACCTTTGGATGCTGAACTGCAAGTAGGTGAAATATGACCAGCTGTGTGTTCTCCATCACGGGAGTATGTATCGCCACATCGGGATCACCTTCTGTGGCGGAATTCATGAAACAGGTTCCTAACCACAGCACTTTTTTTTCAAGCAGGTTTGGTGTATCGCGGGTTCCAAAATCATGCTCGAGCCTTCAAATCCCTTCACAATAGGTATATAATCAATTGCAAGCACTGCTTTGTTGCTGTAGCTCTACTGTTTGAAAAATGGTTGGTTGGTTCCAATATTCCATTGTTTCCTGCGTGATTTGCTTCACCGGTTTCACATTACGGTGCATCCAAGGCTGCCAAGGCTTGCCAAGGTTCTCAGGTACAACTCGAATAAACTACTGTGCACGGCTTGTATAGGTGTCTCAAAAAAGATGGCAACCAGGCCTTCTGCCAGCACGATGCAGTTTGGGTCTCTAATCAAGAACCATCGTTGGGTGGTGCCGCTGGACCCTTTGGTCGAACAAGTCGGTTGGGGCTCTGAGCCTCTTGAACAAGGCAGATGATTGGACCAAAATGATCCAAAATGATCAAAATTCATTTCAGCAAAAGGGTGCAAAAGGTCAGACTTTGAAAGAGGTTCCTAACAAAGGCATTTTAAAAACAAAGCAGAATAAAGCAGACCTCAATCATTTGTGCATTAGGAACTAATCGGGGGTGCGTGGGAGTGTTCGAACTCTCGGATCTAGCAGGTCCCAATGGCTCGGTGGCGGCCAAGTACTCCATGCCGCTTGGAGTTGCCGAAGTTGATTGGGGTCACCGGCTTGTCTTTCTGTGGGGGGGGAGTGGAGGTGCTTCCAAGAGTCGGATGACCAGCTAGAAAAGAACGAGATGACCTGTGACGACCACTGAAGACCCATCAAGTTCTGTTGTCCATCTTTCTGAATATCCAGTGCATGGATCTCTATAACATGGGGACCCTTGAAGTCTACAAAATGCCATTCAGGGACCCATTCTATAGTCAGGACGCCCTGGATGAAAAAGGCCTGAACATGGTATTCTGTAGAATCGTCGTTTTCAAGTCATAAAAGATAAGACATCTCGACTGCCATTTTATCAAGAAGCTGCTTTGGAGCAGCTTGAACATGTTGGTGAAGTGAAATTGCATTTGATCGTAAAGACACTGTGCGGCCCATTCTCAGGATGTTTTGGACTTGCACTTTAGATATGATACGGATAGGCTTTTTCTATAGTTGGAGGCCATCGCTCATAGGTTCCCCTTTGTAGATCCCTGTGTCTCTTTCGATACGAACATATTCACATTAACATATTGAGTTATGTGGCTTTAGTCCCTTTTCACTTTCTACTCAAGCTGACTTTCCTCAATATTACCTGTTTAAAGATGTTCAAGCTTTCTTCTGTTTGAATGTCATTTTATAGGCCTAGCCTTTTCTGGCTTCAACAACTTATGCAGTTCAGTTGGATGTCATTTAATAGGGGAATCCAACTTTATATACCACCGAACTTGATTTGGTCATTTCACCGACCCACTTGCCAGACTTTTTTGTTGCTTAGGGTTGAACATGCGTTTATGTGGTTTTGAGCCGAGGTTGGACATCCCATTCTACAGATGTGTTCTGTATTCTTCTATAAAGTGCTTTGTAAAGTCTCCTATACGGTCCAATACTCTATTCACCACGTATCCTTCAGATGTTTGGGTAAACTACATTGCCAAGGCCATCGCAGATGCCCGTCCACAGGGAACAAGTCAAACAAAAAGGACTGAAAAGAAACATGCAACAACAATAAATGGAAGAACATATGCAGTTTGATTGAGTTGTTAATCTATAATTAATGATTATGCAACCTATTTTGAGATGTGTACAAGAGGGATGCAGTGTGCGATGATAACCCGAAGCACTGCTTTTGGACATGCAGGTACTGTTGAAACGTTTGCGAACCACCGGCTCTGCAAAACGGCCGAAGCGACTCGCTTCATTGCCTGTCGGCCGAAGAAATCAACTGGCTTGGCCGACAGCACTTCTACAAGACTGGCCGTGAAACACGAACACGCGAACACCCAAACAGGCAGCCGGTTTGGCATGTTTTGAGATGACTTGGAATTTGGACGGTCCTACCCATCGGTATAGACATATTTCCGTACTAGTTTAGATCTGGGGCTGTTGTGTTTCACCATCGGTGTTGGAATTCTGGGCCAATCACCAGGGCAGCCAGCAACCTTTAAGCCACTGCCATTTTGGGCGGCAGGTCAGAGGAGAAAAACGAATCTTGAGCACGGCGAAATGCCAATGTTACTGTGTTCAACTAGGGAGACCCCTCCGACACACCCGGGGAAAAAGAGCATCAACTGGAACCAAATGGTTGGAAGGCACGCCCTATTCCAATGCACACCCATACAGCAACTACATGCAACTACAGTATAGTGGAAAATTGGTGCTTCCTCGGCTACAGAAAACAACTCCACGAAAAACTCACAAGATCAGGCGAGTTTGCAATCTACGCCTATATATAGTGATGATTACTTTTTTGCGGGTCAGACCATTCACTTAATTGGACGTACACCGAGGATCACCGAGGTACTCGTATCGTTTTTTTGCCCAGTCGATGACACCTCCAGCCGGTTGTCCCAACGTTTGACCTGTTCAAACAATTATAATATATATATATATGTTTTTTGATTTGAGCCGGCCACCACACCAAAATGCAGGGGTGCAGGACAAGATTGTCGGGGCGGCAGTCCTTGAGGCTTCTTGCTAGACATCCATAAGTTCGATCATGTTTGATATCCGTCTGAGAATCAAAGTGCAGTTCATCTATGACTGGAACCGGTTGGCCCCGGTTTGAGGTTTCAACACGTGACATCGAACGGCATGAAGTCCGCACCCGAACGTTGTTTCAGGAAGATGCCTCCGAACTTCGAGGCCTTCGTTTGGCGAGTCCCCAACGGTGGCTGGATGTGAATCGTTCCGGAGGAACGTTTGGTACACAGTGATCCCAATGAGCTGATCTTGAAAAGATCCACGTGTTGTTGGAATTATATACCCAGACTCATGAGATTGATATGATTGATTGGGTTGGCTTAACTATGCTATGGGAAGTGTTTGTGTTCGGATGCATAATAATAAGGTTGCCTGGCCTTGAACCTCCAGACTGGCACAGTGCTCAACAGCAGTGCCTTGGCTTGCTGAGGGAAGTTGGGACAAAAAAATGAAACATTGCACAAAGATGCAAAAAGGCTAGATGAATGGCCTCCTCACCCCACCCGTCGTAATGAATGTTTGTTCTTTGTTGGATCCCCCTGAGCTTATCTAGAGATTCTTAGAGATTTGAATTCCGCCACATATACTGAAGTCTTTGTACGCCAGGTTTGCTGTTCAAAAAGACTCAAAGGGCTGCCTCATGTTCCCGTACAAATGAATCCTGACATGAATTGCCGAGTAGTGGTGAGTTCTGCAAGTGGCCGCAATCGTCATGACATCGGAAGCTGTCCATTTGAAGATGCTTCCATCCTCTACCATGGAACTTGAGGCGCCCAACATATGGCTCAATGGCCTCAATTCCATGTTACCCCTTGGCCCGAGCATCGACCCTTAGTACAGTGAGCATATACATACGCATGCCCGCTTCATGAGGCACATTCGGACAGAGTTGGCAAAGCAGGTGCACATCTTTTTGTTTGCTAGAGATGGCCCAATCGAGTGTGACACTAGTTACATTTCTCCAGGGTCTTTGGAGTTTGTGCATTCCTCTACTACCAGTTCGGTGTGGACAAACTTTCCGCAGAAACCGCAGGTGTCTTCGGCGCCACTTGTATGGAGTTCACGCTGATGCCCCGGCTTCTTCTGACCAATGCCTCCGACGAGGACCTCCAGATCGAGACGTCCCAGCGGAGGCGCAGCGGCGCCGGGCCGTGGGTCACTTCGACTTCAAATCACTTCGCAACTTCGGGTGTTTTTTGAGTTCTTTTGTGCAACAGGATCAGATCTTTTGGGTGGACCGTTGATGTGAGCCACAGGGGTTCGGTGGGGATCGAAGTGCACAGAATTGACTTTGCAATGAAATCGCATCGATGGGTTGGTTCAAGAGAATCATCCAAACAGTAAAATCCAGCAATGGATTGGAGCTCTAAAAGACTGGGGGGTCGCAACATATATGGCATGGCCAAATTGTTCTCGTAGATTTGTGGAATCTCTTTTCCCAACTCTCGATCAGCGGAGACCTGTTTCTTTTCTTGGTAGCAGAGCGCCTTGTGATATTTCACTTTAAGCCGTTTTCTCTAGCGAGCGAACACCGCATCGGGTGGGTTTGGAGCACCACTATCCCCGTGTGTTTGCCAAAGAGGAATTATCAGCGAAACATAGTGAAACGATGTGAACTGGGTATCACTTTACATGTCTATCCTGTTTGGTCATCCCATCCGGCAACAGTCCAAGGGTACCAAATCCGTGAAGAATCCGACAAGACAACCCATTGTTTTGCTCTTTGGGGTCGTGTAATACCTCGGCTTGGACGCGACGCAGTCAGCTGCGCTTGGCACCTGGAGAGTCCCGGGTGATGCATTGGGAGGTGCCAGTGCCTCGGTGGAAAGGCTGCAGACTGGAGTGAGCTTTCCTGCCAGACCAGATTCTGATGTTATATAGTTCTGATGTTCTGATGACTTGAATCATATGCCACTATAATAATTGTAATAATCCCTTCAAAGCACGAGGCCCCCCGTTGAAAAATATAGGCTCCCGCTCCACTTTCCTTTACTAGGGGGTCCCCCAAATGCCTGCAAAGATGGATACCTAGAAAGAGCTTCAAAACCAACAGTTGCCTAGGAACATATATATATATATATACAATCATTTATTAGATGATATTGTACTCGTATCAAACATGGAAACAAACTCCAGATGACGAAAGGGTCCTTCTCTTCGCTTGTAAACTTTTCAGAAGACTAAAAGATGTCCAAAGGTGATGTCGCTGTGCCATGCGGTTTTGCGCGGCCTCGGTGGAAGCTCTGTGCCATGCGTGTGTAAATACGGCGTGGTGCTAGTGACGGGCACGATTGGTGCTGTTTCTGGTGGGTCAGTTTCTAGTGGGTGGGTGGACAGTGGACAGTTAGGGTTGCTTTAGGAACCTTTTAATTTCCTAAAAATCTACCTACCTAAAGTAGTAGCATCAACGAAGCAATTATAAGCACTATTTATGGGCTTCCGACATGCATGCTTAAATTCGGAAGCGTTTACAATAGCGACGCGGGAGCAGTTACATACTGTAGATATATATATATACAAACATACATTTGAATCAGATGACTCTGTGGGCTGCAGAAATTATGTGGCCGGCCTTCAACAAGGATATTCCAAGTGGGAGGTGGTCTTCTAGAACGTTATATATCTGCTTAATATTTATCTTGTTTGTTGCATCACCCCTTCAGAGAGGCAAACTTTTTGCTTGGCTCAACGGGGGCTCAGAATGATTTCCGACATGCGACATTTCTTGATTTGCTTGCTTGATTTCATTCAATTGGAATCACTTTCACACCCACAAAATTGTTCCAGGCGGTCAACCACCCACCCCGGAATACGTTCAACAATTGTTCTGAGGGGGACCCCTACCCTAAACCTGCTAAGGGAGGGCCCATGACTTATTTATAGTTTGACTTTTGGGGGATACGCCTGCGCTCCAAAGAGGCAGTTCTGAAGGCATGCCTCATTGATTGTGATTTGCATAGCCATTTCAGAACACTATGTCACCAAAATCAAACACAAACAACTGATTTCCAAAATAGGCCAGTCGTCAGGTTGTACTATATTCTGTGCCTCCAGAATTAATATCCAGATCAATTGCAGTAATCCTAGATACTCGTCTCAAAAGTTGCATTCTTCAAGATTGGTCCAAAAGTTTTCCTATATAAGACATTTGATCCAGACGGCCAGGATCTTTGGAAGGTTTTCGGGACTTCAGTCGCAATTGCCAATTTCATCCTGACTGTTAGCCTAACAGTCTGTTAGGCATTTTTCCTTTTCTATTCTAGTTTTCATGACAGTGGCGGTATTTCACTGGAGTTCTTCTTGTTTTTGCAAGGGATTTGGAGGGGGAGGCTGAAAAAGCAGAGCAGTGAAGGGGTATGATTTGGATCTGCTAAAGCTGAATGGACATGTATTCTAATCAGGAACCCCCTCCACCCATGGGTTGTTGTCTATTTTCCTTCCAGAAGGTCAAACGGGGTTCTCGCTATTCTAACACGCCCATCCAAGAGGGTCCTCCAAGTCATCCATCCAAGAGATGGACTCGACAAGGAAAACACCGACGGCATTGATGTGCTCGCGACCACCTTCCGCGCCTTGGGCGTCAGCATGCGTCCTGTGCGTGTTGGCGGCGTCAAAGCTCACCCAATCACAATGATGGTTCAGGTGGCTACCACCCTCAACCCAAACCCGAAAACCAAAAGCAGAGGATGTTGCATCCATGAAATGTAGGCAACAAAGTCCAAATTTTGGCTGGCGATTGGACACGTGTTTGCTCCGCAGCAGATGTGTTCCCATTGTCATTTTTGATTTGGTAACAAGCATCAGCCTGTTGGGGCAAGTCTTTGCATCACACACACGCCATCATCCAACACCGTCCAACATCCATTCATACAAGCAAAGGATCGAATGGCACCTTACAATTGTTTCATGGGAATAATTTTGGGGATCACGGCGACTCTATACTCATGATGGTCAAATTTCTGGACACATGTAACATCCAAGACACCCCAGAGGTGTCATTGCGGTTGTGTTTGAATTGTTTTTGGAAAACAATATGACACATCCAACAAACCTATTACTGTATATAGTTTCTGCTGTGTGTAAGGTACAGACAGACCAGGGCAACACCCTAAAACACCACTCAAATGGTATCCCAAGTGGGAACCCGAAGCTGGTTCTACAGTGCTTTGGAAGGTCAGCAGTGCAGTTTTGGTTTCAAAGCCTTCTTGTACCTGTGGACTAGGTGGACTCATGAGGACTCTACTCAGATCACTGATCATTTGGGCATGTCACTGGAAGGACAATAGCGAGTTTGCGAACGGTTGCGCCAACACCTCATACATGATCACACCCAAAAGGATACCTAAATGTCAGAACGTTTGAAATGATGTGCTCATTCGGTTGGCAGCAGTGTTGGCACTCCGAGCAATGGTTGTGCGATTTTAGCTGGCCAGTGAGTGAATGACAGGCACTGGAGGATGCTCATTGTCAATACCTGTAATTGATTACACTGTAACAACTCGGGTTCTTAAGATGTTCATTTGCCAAAGTACAATCACTCTGAAACACATTTATACAGAAGATGAGTTCCAAGAGGGTATATTAGAGTATAATCTTTTGGTACCCGAGCACTATCTTCGTATCATCATCGTCATTTTAATAGCGTTGTTTTTCACCATGATAACCTTGCCTGGCTTTCCAGGTTTCCGCCCTTCGTATGCCAATGCCTTCTCCGGTGCAGTGCTTTGCAGCGACGCCTCAGCGGGGTCCACGCCCTTCTCCCTGACCACGGCACCCGGCGTGGTGGAGGTGCGTTGTTTGCCAGTGAAACCGCCCCCCAAAAACGCAGGAATGTAGGGGTCTATTGATCATATTTGTACCGACATGTCATGTGGCAATTAAACACCTTGTTTTTTTGTTAATCCTATTTGAGTTTGCGTATGCCGTCAGTTCAACAAGACACTTACGGAGCCCCCTGGTTTCCACCCGCAGGTCTGGAGTGTGGACGTGTCACCTTTGCACGGCAATCTGGGTGTCTCCATCCGGAAGGGATCGGACTTTGCTGCGGTGAACCGCACTGAGGACGTCAGGAGATCGGCGCTTCGAAGTGTTGAGAGGGACCAGTGAGGGAAAGGGGGCGACCCGGGAAGAGCGTGGTAATTTGGGAAGCCCACTTAATACAGTATCCACACTTTAGCCACCGATTGGGCTGCCCGGCTCTCCAATCCGCTTACAGTCTGAGAGCTGGTGCAACAGAAGTCCCTACAGTGAGCTCTTTGACCAATAGAAGTATACAGTGGCAAATGGGTCGCTGTCTTCCAAAAACTGTATATTGATCATTGAAGGGCACTTTGAGGGTCCAGATTGCAGTTTCGACATCATCTTCCACCATCAATAGTGGGAGTCTACGTAGGTATGCCAACTTGAAGACAAAACCAATATAGACCAGCTAATTCCCAGGACTTGCTAAGCTTTGAATCCAGTCCGGATATGTCCGGATGAGAAGTTCCGAGATTTGTCGCCGTCGATCAAACGATGTCCATGTTCTTCTCGGTCGAAGTGTTCAATGTTCGACTGTCACTGAGTAGGGTTGGAGGGAAATATGGAAAATATTGGGAAATCTACAGCGAAGTAAAGCAGGCTTCAGCATTCTCAGCGCCTGGTTTACCGCGGTTTTCCGGTAGATTCTGCGTGGCCAAAACACTTTCTCAGTAGCAGTTACTGTGCCAGCGAGTGAAAGGAAGAACGGCAAGCACAGAGTTTGCAGCATGTGGGCCAATGCCGCACTTGTGTTTTTGTGGTCATTGGACAACTTCATGTTTTCGATTCCAGTCCTGAGAGGATGCAGGTCCAGCCGATCTCACGCTTCATTCATGGATGTGTCATCGCGATTTCCTCTGGTACTGGAGAGAAGGTCATTGAAGTTGCTCCAGGTCGGGTTGCTGGCAGTGTTGATGGAGACGCTTCATCGAATGTCATTCATACAGTAGCTTATTGGTGCTTGATATTCAATCTATACCCGGACCCTGAATCTTTTTCCGGCTCACCGGAAAACGCAGAAAGATGCAGCAAGTTCACAACAGAAAACATGACGCAGAAGTGACAAAAAAGACGGAGAAGTAACCGAAATTGATGCCAACTTTGTTTGTTGTGTTGTTTTTGAGCTCTGCCTGAAGACTGTCCCCACCGGAAAAAGAAGGACTCCAGATATGTAAGATTATATTGACAATCCCCCGTGATTGATGGCTTATAACATGTAGATCCTTTTCTCTTACAAAATGCAAATTCCAAGACATATTTTATAAACATGAGGGTTTGTTTTTTTATTGTTTTAAAGGATAACTACATAAGATCTGGAGTATCGATGTACATAGGTCATTTAATAAACTTTACTAACTTGGACACTGAATGACAGTAATAGAGGGCAGGTGAACCCCGTGATAACATTTTATAAGAATTCACTTGTCGAGTTGTCGGTTGATGGTCTGAACACGCTTTCTCATTTTATAAACACACTGTTCAGGGTCATTTATTTGCATTAAAGCATAAACACATAATTTTATAAACCGACAGCCAATATTATGTACATATATCAAAAATAACATATCAACAATACAAACCGTACATACTAATCAATATATGTATTATTGATTGATAAAATGTTGTGTTTTTATACACAGCTATGCAAAGTACATCAGCTAATACAGATTCAGATTCAGATTTTTAAGATTCTGAATCATTTACTCTTTAGTAATGATTCAGATTCTGAATTTTCAGATTCTGAAATTCCAGATTTAGAATAATCCAAGGAACCCCTCTGTGGAACCACTGTGGAACCCCTGTGGAACCGTCAAGGAAACACCAACTATGAAGACGCAAGTCTCCTGCATCATCCTTGGCAACCTGCTCAGAAGCAGTCGCCTGTGCAGCTACCCCTCCTGGCAAAACACACAAAATTTCAGAAAAGAATGTACTCCAAGAATTAGTGATTACATGTGATTACAAAACAACAAAGCTGATGTTTATAAAATGGATTCCAGTGGAACAAACAAAATATCCCAACCGGATGGTCAGGAATCATCCTTTTATAAACTCTGGAACCCCTCTGGAACCCACAAGTCCAATTCAACACAGGGAGACCCGAGCGAAGGACCCGTTCAAGCCGAAGATGCGCACCGGTTGGTTCCCCGCGGTTCGCCGTGGAGGTGCCATCCCTCACCGTGGTGCACCGATGTGCACCGTGTCCCTCCCCGTTAAGGGAATAGACACAGAGACAGGGGGAGAGAAAAAATACAGAAAAAGTAGCTAGTTAATTGTTAATTGTTAGTTATTTGGCATCTTGAGATCTTGACATACGAATGTTCATTTTATAAAGGCTACGGATTTGGCATCTTACGGACATTTCCGATTTGCAATTCGCATTTCATAAATTGTTTTTTCCTGGATGTCGATTTCTATCTTAACCTATCATAACCTGCGCTGGTCATTTTATAGACTAGCTGGTTTTTCATTTTACAAACCAAAAAACCTATCCCACACATTTTATAACCCCCCAGAGCTTATAACATGAAAAATCGACGCCCGTATGAACAATCACGGGGGATTATTGACAAGGTATTTTTTTCAGGCGGGTGTCGTTGACCTGGATATTCAAAACGCCTGACTGACAAGGCGGCAGGCCCTCAGGTTTTTGCGTCCGTTTTACTTGTTGCTACTTGCAAGACTTCAGGTAGAGGTTTGAGAACTGGTGTCTCAAGCCCTTGAGTTTGTATCAGAAGGGGCACCTGTAGAGGTTCTGTGGAAGGGATAGTTACTGCAAGCCAGCCCCTTTTGGTCACCTGCAGTTCCGGGATGTCACTGAAAAGTACGGCGCAGGACCAGACCAGCACATGTTCAACATGGACGCTTCACTCTCCCCGCGATCCCATGACACGCTTCAAACAAAAATGTTATCCTGCCTCCGAACTGGTGGAGTCGTTCGAAGATTAGGATGTTGTTCTGTTTGGAAGGAGATCTTTGGAACCAAAAAACGAATATTAATTGGGGAAGGCAGGCCACTCGCACACTGGGTCGCTGGGAGGAGCGAAGGGTCAGGAAATGTCAGGAAGCACAGAGACAGGAGGTGCGAAGATGTGACGGAACCAACAACCAAGACGGGTACAGAAGGGTACAGTACACATGGCCACCAACCTAGAAGCGCTTCCAACCAAGAAGGTACAGAAGCTGTAGTGCGTCGGCGACAGTAGTGCATAGTGCACCGAGCCCCAGTTTGAGCTGAGGTGGGTAAATATCAATGCAGTGCTCTGACATCAGGAGTGCTTGATAGAGCCAACAAGACGGGAAAGACCATTATGCTGCAAACCGCAAGCAAATTGTGTGCAACAAGTAAAGCATGTGTATACATAATACATATGTTACATATAAATATATATATATTATATATATACATATAATTAATATGTATGTGTATGTTTTATATACATTTATATACAAAATTGTATAGAGACTTGCTCAATCTCTTTTCACGACCACCCGCTGGGATCCCGGGTCTATTCTTTCAGAAAGTCTTCTGTGTGTACAGAACCGGCCATGGGCGGTTTTGATGTCGGAAGGTGAGAGGCTGCCGATTGGTTGGGCGACACCTTTTGCTGGCAACCGGTGTCGGGCCGCTCGGCGGGCTACTAATAGCTTCTTGTTACTACTAGTAAGGCACCTGTTACTCTAGTAAGGCACTTGTTACTAATAGCTTCTAGAGACTGAAGGGAATGCTCATTGTGCAACTTGGGGGTGAGTTGGAAACACCGGCATCCGGTGATCATTTTTCTCGTTCATGTGAACTTTGGGAGTTGGAATATAATGATTTGATATACTGTATGTTGAAGGAGTTTCGTTTGGGGGAGTGAGTTTGGGATGAAGTCATCAAACGCTATAAGTGTTTACTGCTTTCATATTGTAGTAATGGCCTAGCACCTATACAATCTTATATAGAAACTTGACCCACTCATTTTGACTTCCAAAATTCAGTTGAGGGTTCAGGGGAACATTTATTCTAACTCTGCTGGAATTAGAGTATCGTATGCAGATAGAATAATTGTGGCTGCAGCTGCGAGCTTCCAAACCCACTGTGAGAATAATTTGATACGTACATGGGACTGGAAACAGCAGGGAAAAAGTGTGTGTCATTGTGATGTTGATTGATTTTGACTTGAATTGCTCAGCAAAATGATGATGGTGGTCCATTTTTATTCTAACTGCTTCGGCTTCTCACCCGTGACCTAAAAATTAGGGTATTCTAACTGCATACGAATACACATTAAACAAGTGATGAGCCTTACTATTTTCAAGTTGCATCTACAACTCATAAGCTATCATCAATGCAGCACCAATAGAAGCTTGTCCCAGAGTTTCTTTTGCATGAAAGCTGCCAGAAGAGGGTGCTGCCAGGCAGAGATGTTGCGCATGCAACTACTGCCCGGTCTGCTCCCCACAACTGAGGAGGCGAAGGTCACTGTTGGCTCTGAAGAACTGTCCATCGACCTGCAGCGCACGGGCACGTGGCCCCTGAAAGCGTTGGGACACCGACATGGATGGATCCGCCCCTGGGCCAAATCAAGTTCTTCGTGCGAGACCGGTGCCTTCGTGCCGTCCTTTTTTCTGCTTGCGAGGCATGGCAGGCAAGAGAGGCATGGCAGGCAAGAGGTGACAAGAGAGGAAGACCTGAGAAAAGATAGAAACAACATGAAACAATGCACAATTTCAGCATGCTATATAATTTGTTTGGTTTACGATCTTGGGGGTGAGCAAGTGACTGAAGAATCAAGCCAACACACCAAAGGGACCATCAAGACCGCTATATTTGTGTCCAAGGCTGCCTAAGAGGAGGATTTTCAGCTATACCGAATACTCCTGACCAAACATATTATATATATTATCTATATTTATCTATATATATATATTTGCAAGTTGCAATTACTAATTACACTAAAACTCATTTGGCCAGGGAGTCTCCATGTGGTTCCATATTCCGACACACATCCATTTGCATCCATTTACCTTTCATATTGTCCAGATCGGTCAAGCCAAACTAGATTGCAGGTCGGGGATAAAGCAAGCTCAGCACAGGGCCGCCTCTAAAGATTGCTCTAGGAGATCTCGAAGACCGCAGCAAGAAGCGAGAACGAGTGTTGAAGACACCTACATGCCTGTACTACACCAGTCCAAATTAGGGGTTGGAAGAAGTGGATGCAAGCAGAAGGGGAAGAAGGGGATGTACAGTGTGGAAGAGAAATAGTTTCATGGGATGGCAGGGTGTGATTGTTGTAGATTGCTGGTTGAGTCTCGTGTGCAGCAACAGGATCTTGACATGTGGGAGTCTGGTCTACATGTGTTTTTCCTCGGGAACGGAGGCTCGCTGCAAAGCAAGAAATCAACAGTCCTACACTACCTGAAACAATCATTGGAAGTGGAAAATGGCCGCTTGGATGACCATTTTCCTCTACTACAAACAGATTGTTTTCCAGTTGTTTATTTCAAGGGGAGTTCCATTCAGCAGTGAATCATGATGCACCACAGGGCCCACCATGATGATACTGTATAGAAAGATGCAGCATGTGTTTAGTCAGGGGGCACATTCATTATAGTTCATTGAGATTAATGCTTTGTTGAAGTCCTCGAGTGCCTGGGAGCTGCTTCGAAACCAAGTTGGCGAGTACGCAGTTATAAAACGGAACTTGTCAAACTCCTATCAAAAAGCACAAAGCCACTGCGAAACCCTTTGCTTGAAACAATATCCGGCAAATCGTTGTAACAGATACGGATGTCGAAATGGAAGAGTTTCTGCACCATGTTTAAAGCCAAACGGGGATCGCAACATGAGTTTTAGTGAGAGTGAGAGGGTTCGGATGGAACAACACATTATATATTATACATCAAATCAATACCTGCAAATTCCGGATTTGGAAAGGGCATATTTGAATGCCACGCAATTTGTTTTGTTGGGATCATTTGGGCAGTTCTTGACTCCCAAGACTACGCCCAAGACCGAGCCAACAGTTGGAATCTTGGAGTCAGAGTTGTTTCAAGCCGCACAGGCCGACATGTCTTTTGTAGAGGTAAGAGGTATAGCTTATTTAGGAACCTGGAGTTCGTCCGTTTGGTTTGTCCGACATGTTCCAAGACTCCAGAGCTACAATAATTTGGAGCCGCTGCTCTTGTGAACGTTAAGACCAGCTTCTTTGGATACCTTGGTAATCCGAATCCTGGTGAGGGAGAGTGAACACCTCCACCAGCTCCTTGTACGCGAGCAGCCAGGCTTTCAGAATCTCAGATATGCGGAAACACAGACTCAGACTGTGGCCAGAAACCGTGGGAGCTTTCATGGGGCCAATTGGGAGGAAGTGTAATGAGATGGTGGCAGCACCAGTGCCAGCTGTATCTACAATCAACGGGATGACTTGAGCAAGTTTACTTCATTGACCCCCGTTGACGAACAGGAGGCAGATCTACAGAGTCAGTCGACTTGTTGGTGGTTTGTTTCCCCTTTGATTTTGCGTTTGTGGTCCTTTGTGTGAGTTTCTGGGCCTTAGTTTCGCATCGGACTTTGGCTTGCATGCAGAGAGATTCAAAGGCAGGACCTCAGACGCCTCTCAACAAAGAAGGTGTGTTTGGAGTTTGGACAGCATTCTTGACGAGTCTTCTGGGGTGGCATCGGTCAGCAGTCAGTTGATGATTGTGGGGTCAGCAGTCAGCATACTACTGACGGCCTAATTAGGTCAGGTGTTTGGAACACCCCACAGCCCCACACCAAAAACACCAATTTGCATAAAGAACCCATCAGCCTGATCATCAGACCAGTTGAACAGGAACACATTGTCAATCACGGTTGCCACATCACATATGGTCAATGATCAAGAAATACTGAAGTGACGCTGCGGTGAGAGAGGGCTTTTTGGCGAAAGACATTCCAAAACGGCCAGGAATGATGTGAGTCAAGTACGCATAGCGACGGGTGATTATGAAGGAGTCAGTCCTGGCCACTGCAGATGGCCATGCTGCTGCTGAGTGTTGTACACATGACGCTTGCGGGCACATAGGTACATTCATTTCCTTATGAACATATGCCTGAAGAAACTGTCTATTGTGTTGAGATGCACAAGTGTGTAGTGTACAATAATTTTGTTAGTCGACAGTCGACAGCCCTCCACTTCCGAGTAGTCTCCCTCCTTCAATTTGCATTGCTCGATATCGCTCGGCACAAAAGTGCTGTGTGCAAAATATGTGGGGGAGGGCCTCTATAAACTTAACGGGCACAAAGATCGAAAGTTGGAGGAACCCAAGCCAAACAAACTGGGTGTCGCGTGTGGTGAGGAATGCTCTTCTTGGCCTTGTTTCATCTAATGAACCTGTTTTGCCTCAACTCATCAACACCGGCTGCCATCACACGCTGAATGTGCTTTCGAATGTTATAGCTATATGAGTTATATGAACAAAAATTGCCAACCCCATTCAACACTGTTCAGTTCGTCCCCACCACCTTTGTTTTTCCCTTTTTGTTCACCCTCCTCCTTCCATGGCACCGGATTCTGTGCGAGTTTCGCACTTGAGGCGAAGAGACCACCGGCTTGGCATTGCGGGTTTCACGCCATGGCACCACCACGGAGCTGAGCCTGGAGGACAGTGCTGAAAAAGGGGCTGGCAGCCCCCGAAGTGGCGCCCAGGTGGGGGAAATGTCACAAAATGGGTGAGGGGTGGATATTTTTGCCGAGGCATGTCAATTGATAGTCCAGATGTTTGTTTGCATGATTGTAGCACCCAATCCGCGAGGGCTTACGTAAGACCCAAATGAGATGAATGGTATTGAACGGTTCCTTTAAGAAAACAATGGTGAGGCAATTGCGAATACCGACATGTGACATCAACACGTACAACATGTGTTTCACTTCAGTGTTTCATGATCCCAGCCTTCCAAGACCTCGCGAAACGTGAAACCCGTGTCCACCCTTTGGGAGTGAAAAACGCGTAGGTTTGTTCGGAGTGGCCCTATCACAGGGAAATAAACATGGAGAGACAGGGCACAGGGCAGGACGCAGATCTGTGTCTCTGGGTTTTGGTTTGTTTGTTTGTGTTTTTCGATTTCGTATAAAGTGGAGTGACTGCGATTGGCATTGGCCCCTTCTAAAACCGTTTTGAACACTGTTTTATAGTTTCACACCTTTCTATCCAATTTGAACAACATTGACGACCGCATGTTTAAATTCTCGTGACTCGTGATCCCACCTAGATGACGCATTGCTGTGTTCAGGTTTCTGATGAGATTTCTGCATCCTTAGCCTTGCGGGTGAAGCTTGGCCGTGCGGGCATCTCCTTGATTGATGAGAACCCACCCAGGCCTCTCCGGCGGTGTTTTTTTTTTTCTGCCAGATCACCGATCAATCCTGTGCGGAACGTGAGTGCAAGGATCCAAAACATAAACACTCGTTGTATCTCGTTGTTGAGATGCTCACTGCCAAGTGTTTGTTCATTTGGGCTCATCCAGGCAGATACACTGTGGGATGATAGGATCAGGCAACACCCGCAAAATAGACAAGGTCCCCATGGCTGGCAGGGACCCCAGACCAATCAATGGCTATCAGACGGTTTCATCTATTTTTCTGTTGAACAGATGGTGGTCATGTAGGCGATCATTCGGGCATTTTCCCTTTCACCCATCATAAACCACAATATATATATATAATTTGGATATACTTATTTATCACGAATGCAATCAAACAACATACTTAAAGGTAGCAAAGAGCAAACATGGTTTGATCTTCAGCTTGTGCCCGACGATTTGGACGTTGGTCAGCTGAAGTTTGGACCTGTTAGTGGACACCCATCTATGAAAGACAGCCAGCCAAAGGGGACTAGTGTACCGGATGATGCGTTTCTAAGTGGACCCCGTGTTCATTGACCGGAGCACTAATTTGTCACACCTTGACAGGCCAATAAATAGAAGGTCCGAGAATGATTCACCTCGAGCACTTTCGAAAGAAGTTGAATGTCTGGTATTTAGATGGCTTAATATTGAATGCAACCTGTCGCGCTGAGCAGGGCTTGATCGAGAAATTGTTGTATACATTTTTCCGTGATGCAGCTCATGCACTTACAGTATCACTATATCTATTAAGGGATATTAAGGGCAACAAAAATCCGAGACAACTTACTTTCTTAGTTTGGAAGGAATCATTGATAAAACCCGGATTCTCCCGGATCCAATCTTTGTTCTCATTTATCTCACACCTCTGCAACCAATGGTAGCTCTTCGAACGGCCTTGGCAGGGAGCTTTTCTTCTTCTCACTGGATATGTTGCGCCTTGAGTACTTGCAGGCAGGCAGAAAAGACAAGCTCACTGTGTGCCACATTATTCTCAAAGTTTCTCAGTAATATGTTGACAGGATTATCCTGCATTGTAGCTCGCAGCACAAACGATCAGACTACTGTAGATATTCCAAGCTAAACCTGCACCCTACGCCCACCTACTGGGTGAAGATGACATCACCCACATGCACACATGTATAGGTTTTTGATTGCTGGACCGATATGAATCCAGCTCTCAGCTGGTGGCTATTATACATCGTTCTACATAGCGACCCAGTTTCGTGCAGTTTGTCAGATGATTCTCATGTAGAAGTGCTTGCTGCTTGCTGCGTGCTGTGTAGACTTGACGATAACCATCAATAGCAAGAGTGGACATCATCTCCGGCAATTTTTGGGTTTGCAGGGAAACATCTTCATCAATAGAGTGATGCGATCACTGAATGTCTCGATTCCAGCTGCCGCACATCTCGGAATCATCGAAGCGGCAAAGACACGAAACCAGCTTCGAAGATCTTCACAGTGTCTGATTTAAGTCGGAAGCAGGCCCATCCGAGAGGCCACGTTCTATTGGAGCATGAGCTTCACGATGCACACCCTGCTCAGCATCAGTGGAATAACGGAAAATGCATGAACATGCTGACTTGTTGCTTTGTTCAAAACCGCAACACCACGGCTGCCTGGCTGCTTTTTCAGCCTCAATCAGGACGCCGTCCGAGATTCCGAGAAGGTCACCCTCTCCGTGTCGGAGGCCGGTGTGGAAGGGCCACTTCGGTCATGGTGCTGTTCAGAAACATGTTCATGAAAGTCTTAGGAGCTAAGACTAAGAGTGGAAAACTCTTCCCAGGTTTTCACGAGCTTTCGACTGTTTACAAGGCTTTTGAGCCGAGGACGTTTGCGGTTGACTCAATTCCAAATGAGGACACCACATGACACATCGTTCATCAAATGCGACCATAAGAATATTGAACAAGTCCAGGAGTCCTGGACCTACTGTAACAATTAATGTTGGGCAGATGAGCGGAACAAGCAAGCAGCAACTTGAATGGGAATATGCTTGCATTGTTAGCATGACGAAAGGGTTCCTGTTTATCTCCCTTCTGGCAATGCTCCCAACCCTTGCATGAGATTGGCCAACCTCAAGGCATCTCCACTTCTTGCAACCGACTTTGTGCACTCGAAAGACGGAGCAACTCGCGGGTGTCCATTCGGTGCATTTCATGTTTTGGCGTTTCAGGAGGGTCCAGGGTCCTTCTCTTCGTGGAGTGATTGGAATGCAAAGTTGTTCCGCCGCCACACCTACCCATTCCCACAGGCGTTGAAGCACCTTCACCCCTCCGACTCCAAGTCTTCCAAAAACACCTGTCAGGTGCAGGCTATTTGTCAACTTCCAGATCGAACAGATGGGCAGGACCATGTAAGATTTGCTTTGAGAGAGGTTGAAAGAGCCCAGAAAACCACGAGAAGTCCCGAGCGGCCCATGGATGGGTTGCTTGAAAGCTCAGTGAGGGTTGGGACGGGTCGGGTTGGGATGTTGACCGGATGCCCAGCTGGGCCTTGTTGATCCATGTGGAGTTGCCGACTTGTCGACCTTGTTTGGGAACTGCGAAAATTGTTCAACGCCAAGCCAGGGCTGTGATAGGCTGCGTCTCTCAGAAGATTCCACGACATTGTTAAAAACGACGGGCAATGGGACTTGCGTTGGGATGTTTGCGAGGACACCCTGTGTTCTGCATTCCTGATCTGCCCGATGCCAAGTGCTTCGCCAGGACAAGGTGAACATGTTGGACCCGTCACGCTTGCAGCACCTGCCCGATGCACTCTTCAAAAATCAGGCGCACCGGCACGAGAAAAAGGAGGTTGGATATCTCAGGGTCGCTGTTGAGCTCGCAGCGGCCAATCCTCGTGGGTTTCCCCCAAATTGCAACCTCCAGCCTGGCATCCTCAGCAAATGGCATCATAGACATCACGTTTGGGCGGACCTAATCACACGGCCTAGACCAGTTATATAGTTCATTGAAAGTACAATAATTATGCTGCCAAACACAGCTGTGTTGTTGTATGCGATTGCATTGTTTGGCATTGTTTGCACGTTGTAGCTGTTGGGATTAGGATCGGGAACGGTATTTAGAAGCTAGCGCAAACATCTGGAAAAGCTGCAGGCAAAACATCGCGAACTGCGGTGACATATCGTGCAAAACGAACGAAACTTTGCGAACCTGTGTTGGTTGATTTCACCTTGGGCTGTCTCTCTTGTATGCATGCAGTGAATCCAAAATGCATAGTTTGCAAACGTCTCTCGAATGTCTCAAAGCTCTAGGCTGCCAGTTCAGTACTTATGAGTTTTCTTAGCAAGGCTTTGTCCTCTCAACCCAAAAGAGGAAATCATAATTCAGGAAACCTGCATGGATGTCGAGACATTGAGCCGAAACAGCTTGCGGGCTATTACAATCGTTGTGGCAAACGAGGTCTTAGGACTCTTAGGAAGAATAACCTGCAGGCAGAAAATGAAGCCTTCAGGGCAGGCTCCAAACGACATGTAAAACAATCATGGACCACAGTCTACGATGTCCACGGTATCCACGGTCCACGCTAAGGAGTTCCCAGCGGTGGTCCTGGCAAACCACTCCGCAGGAGAGCTGAGCGGAGGAAGACAAAGTGGGAAACGTTTTGGAAGTTGGGAGGTATATAGGTGGTCCCTGCATGTGTATGATTCCAAAACTGAATTCCGACAATTGCAGGTTGTGGACGAGCAAGAATCACTGGAATGCTGAAGTCTTTAGTGACATTGATTTATAGGTGCCAAACCCAATCATATAAGCTCTAAGAAAAGAAGCTCAAGCCCTAGAACATACTCGCGACAGTTGCACAGCTCAGCGGTAAAAGCCATTGCATTTTTGGAACCCCCCAGTAAAATTGAAGTCAAGAATAGTGAACCGTGATCTTTATGCTGATGCCGTAAGGAAAGACAATTTGTTGTTGTTGCCAAATTGCAGAAGATCAAAATGCAGGCGCGTCACCTTGTGTCACGGGCTCAAGACAACATGTCAGAACATCATGATTGGCGTGTGACATCGTCCATGCCCGCCAGACTATACCTTCCAGGTGTTCAATCGGAATCGGCTGGTAATCACTTGGGTGTTTGTGTACGCACACCTCCGTATAATGTTGGGATTCCTGTGACACCAATTCAGCGTCCTGTTCCCCAGCAAGGATCAAGACCAAATTTGCTGCTGAATTTGGTTCCACTCAGCTTCGTTGAGCATAGAAGCCAGAACCAGAATCCTGCCCGCAGGCAAAACTCTTTGCGTTGACGATCTGAAGTGTATGATCCAACACAGCTGACCTCAGGACAAACATTCACCTCATAATACCAAGTATCATCTATCAAATCAAATCCTCCATAAACATACACAGTCACACTTGGAACCAGCTTGGGCGGTGATGTCGGGCGGTGCTCCCCGACTTCGCGTTCCAGGCAGGACATGTGTAGTTTTTCCGAGCTAGTCCATTCGGCAGGTGAGTTGTTACACACTCCTTAGCGGAGTGTCAGCTTCCATGACCACCTTCCTGCCAGGGGGTTGGACAGCGCTAGTCAATATGTATATATATATATATTACATAAAAATGATTATATAATATGTAATAATAACAACATAGAATATATATATATATATATTTATTTATATATACAACAAACAGAGGCGGAAAGAACATCCAGCCTTTGCACAGGTGGTGTCAATCGGAACCCATACCCAGTGGAGCCCGATTCGCCCCCATCCCCTCCGTGGGACTCCCAAGTCTTGATGATCAAGGAATGATAAGGAATGCATTTCAGAAAGACGTTTGATCACGGAGTGTCCACTGCTTTACGTGGAAGCTGCCAGAAGTCAGAGCTGGTTTGGTAGATTCCTGGATCCTTCTACTGGGGGTTGCTTGTTAGGTCTTAGTTTTTAGTTATTCGCAGCTTTTGGAACCTCTTGGAACTTGGCTCGATCGCTTCCTGTTTGTTCTCAGATAGCGACTCAGACGAGCTCAGCTGGGAGGGTGACAAGCTGGAAGTGCCTCATCATGCAACGCCTGCAGGGACAGAAACATGTTTGACAGACCGGTGGCTGAATTCAATGCAGAGATGTTCAGATTTTGCGAAGATTGATAGACTAACCTGGTGTTTGACTTTGACTCGGCGATGGAAAAGGATCCAGAAAGACCAGACCGAGATTGAGCCCGAGTCCGAAAGCGTCTCCCAATGTCTCGAGCTTCAAAGATTTCAACATGACCTCTTTTTGAAGTCTCCATAGTGACCCGTTCAGGTGTCAAAACTGGCCTCATCCTGGAATCATTTGCAAGTTTGCTCACTTTGAAGGTCCTGAACCAGCGTGGATCCGGTTCTTTGGTTCTTTTGCTTGGTCTCCCAACATGTCTCTTTCGCTCTCGTCCCCAGGTCTCTCGGGCACCGGTCGACCTGTGGCAGACCTTTGTGGAGGATGCACCAGGAGGGCGCGGAGGGGCGCGCCAGCGGCAGGCGCTGCGGAAAGCGGCTCCGCGGTGCAGGAGAGGGTTTTTGAGGTGAATTGGTCGCAGGGACATTGACCTCAAACATCCTCAAACAAGGTCTATTCAGTGGTTTATTCTGCTATCCCTGGTTGTCCCAGGTCTACATAAAGGATCATAAAGGCTACTGATTGTGTCCCAGTGTGTGGTTCTATGCCATTTTTGGATGTTGAACAAAGTTGCCCAGATTGGGCCAGGAAGACGTGGCCGGCTTTTGCTCGCACTGCCACGGTGGACACGACGCTCTTACCGGAGGTGCCGAGCGGCGTACTCACCCCGGACGCGCCCAGCCGACGTGAGCCCGAGCCGGAAGAAGAGATGAAGGCGCTCCGCAAGGAGCATCTTGGTGGGTTTTGGGTGATTCTCATGGATTCCATTGGATCCCTGCTTCTTGTTTCTTCTGTCGGCGATTGCAGAAAGTAGCTTCTTCTTGTCTGGACTTGGCGCTGGCTACTTAAATGGAGCTTGTTCAGTCGAGCGGCACGGCTGACATACCCGAAATCCTGTGATCATTATCAGCATGATTCGCAGCACGATCGAAACTCGAACTTCCAGAACATCTCTTACATGTGGTTGCTTGTATTGTTGAAGGTCGCAAGCTATGCACTTGATGAGACTGTTTCCATAAATTTGCCCACAAGGCTGTGATTACCTCTGCAGTGGCAGAGAGGGGAACACAGGACACAATTAGACATTAGAACAACATTAACAACAACCTGCAACTATGCTTAACTTAAGCTTCCTTTGAGGGCTGAGGAGCAGATGGGTATTGATCTTTCTGTCAACTTTCAACTGTTTTGCCGTTATTGATCAATTAATGGTCACGTTCACAGATTCTTTGTTTCCTGATGCTTTTTGTGTTGTGTTCTAGTGGCCTATATATATATTACTGTACATATATATGTAAATGACTGGTGTATGTATACATCCATATACCGATACCTGGATCTTCAAGCGGCACAGATTTTTGCCGAACACATGTTTCAGTGAATAGACGCCGTAATAGAGGTTGCAGACATACTGTACTCTCAAAATCCATACAATTTTGCTAAAAGTGCCGTCTGTGGGAAAAGACATGGTAACGGCAGTGTTTGCTGCCAAAGGCAATTAATTACTGTATGTGTGCCTCGACGATCCAGCGTATAATATATATATATACATACGATGCATCGCTCCTTGTAGGTTACATGTTGCTCGCATGGCATACATACAAAGTGCTGGGGCGTGCTGCGTTTTCGTGTTCACTGCCGAGGAGGTTCAGGTGAGCGAGAGCTTGAACGATAGCGAGGCCTCGGATGACTACTGGGCGAAGGATCCAGAGCTGGACAGAACCAGCGAGGAAAGAGGCAGCCTGAGGAGAGGGATCTCCCATTCTTTTGGGCAGTCGTTCTTTGTGGTTCTGTTCAAGTTTTGAAGGAATGGGATTCTCTTAACACATTTGGCGAAGTCTACTTTTTCATGTGACTAGGATACTATGTTCTTCCCTTGGCTTGCCGTTATTAACCAAAACAAAGGTTTTCTGGCAAGAGCCCGGTTGCAAGGCTTAAAGCCCTTAGTTGGAGGAAGAACACCCAAATCCGGGTTTTTGTGTGTGTGTGTGTGCTTCGGAACTTGTGTCATATATTGGTTGTATATTGGTTGTTTATGTTGACATTGATTGAATTTGGACGTTTGAATTTATCTACATTGGAGATGTTTCATAGCCTCTCAGACCTGGCTCCTCATTCCATACATTGAGGTATCGTTGCAAAATGGAATGCTTACATATTCAGTTCGGGTTACAAGTTACAAGGTTCTGTCGGTGCAATGAGACACAGTGAGATCTTCCAATGAGGATATGACAATGACAACCAAATCTGCTGAAAAGTTCTTAGTCCAATAAATTTTGCACCACCTCAGGCAGATACAGGATGCAAAGTAAGATGCAATAGTTGCTTCACTTCTAGGTATTCTTTTGGATTTTATCCTTCAACAGTTGGGCTAGTTTCCGCGTGCATTGCCCGTTCTGGACAAGTATGGCCATGAATAGCTCCTCAAAACCAAGGAGTGCACCCCAGCCAGCTTTTGGCCAATGACTTGACCAAGACCTACAGGTTGGCAGGTGATTGGCTTCGAAAACGAAAACATGTTGCCACGGAGCACCGGGTCCGTTCGCAAGCTGCGCACCGGATCGGATCAGGAGCCCGAAGCGAACGTCTTGGGAAGGTCCAGGGGGGCGAACGTCCGTGGAGCATCACCATGGTGGAAGTTGGGGTTCCCATCATCACCATCAGTGGGGCATCATCAATCAGTTAATTCGTTTTTTGGGGTTCAATGAGTCCAGATTGACCTCCAGAGGAAAGCCTTCAAGAAATGACACCCTTTATCTTCTGCTCATGATACTGCTCATGTGCTTTCTTGGCCCACCAAACCAGCCCATCACGTCATCACGTGGATGACATCCCAGGACCGTTTGTGAAGCCAAGGGAATTTAGTACCCCATAGGCCCATAGGGATCATATGATCTCGCGGATTTATTTCTTTATATAGCACAAGTCTTCGATTGAAAAACAAAGTTACGGCGTTGTTAGGAACCCTTCGGTAAAGATGAAGTTCATGAAACGAAGAAGACAAAGTTCCCTAGACAAAGAAAGACAAAGATGAACTTGATGATCGGACCGAAACGTCATTACCCCCCGCACATTCCCCCCCCGCCGTGCAACGAACATCACCCCCTGGTGTTGATCATGAACATTGAAAAGCATTGAAACACAAAAACCGCACCCTTGACATGGCGGGGGTTGCTAATTGTCGCAGTGAGCACAAACAAGCAGACTCCGAATTATGTTGCTGAGAAGGAATCATCTTCTCTTGTCACGCCTCAGAAGGGCCCTGATACCCGGCATGACTGGATAAACGTGCACTCCTGGTAGACCATCTTGGATGAACATGACCAACTGAACCATGTTCACGTTGATGAACTGGATGACCTCAACCTGATGGAGACTCAGTGGTTGATGCCTCGAATTTGCATGTCCAACTGGTGGCCCTTCCAGGCCGGCGGTGGCCTCGATCCTCACAGCGGGTGAGAGCCTTCGATGTGCAAGGGGTGTGCGTGCTGTCTGAGCAGGCAGGGAAATTTGCCGCGTAAGAACGCTCGTGGTCGGGTCCTGGTCTTGAAAGATACCCTAGGGTGGAGGCCATCGCAAGTAGGTTGGAGGCCATCGCTACTAGTAAAGCTATGGAAGGAAGAAACAAACTGGCGCAAGCATGTTGAGGAAGATACATATTATATATTTTACGTATCCCAGCTCTTGTCTGATACAAAGGCCCATAAATCTGGAATTTGTAGTTTGTTCAAGCTGATTCTGAAACTCCTCAAGCAGGACTTTTGGGCCCTAAGGAGCTTGAGGCTATGTGTCATGCTCACCAAATTCGGTCAGTCTGCGCATGTTGGCAGGTCCCTAGCACCGGGGGCAGCCGCATGCGGCAGCCGCATGCGCTGGAAGCAATGGCCAGCGGAAAAAGGGCCTGGCCAAAAGAGCGGCGTCGGAGTGAAGGGTCCAGGCCTAACACCAAGCAGGAGTCGCTCCTGGTAGCGTCCTTGCTCCTAGTAGCGATGCCAGGAGCCCCTAGTAGCGTCCTTGCTTACCTGAAGGCGTGATGCAATTCAATCTTATTGGTGGGTAGGAGCAATCTCTTGCATCATCGTCGCAAGGAACAATGCTTGTTATCTTCCTTCACGCCCAAAAAGTTGCCAAACCATCAAGTGAAATGCGAGCATGCTCACAAATCAGGCCAAACTTGCTGGATGATCAACAATGCTCGCTTTCAACTCCAAACCTGGTTCTTGCGCCTTCCCAACATGCGTCGAACCCCTGTTTGCTGCGCAAAAAAGATTGTGGTGGTTGCGTGGTGCCACAGTCACCGGAAGCTGCTTATCAACCCAGAATGTATTTGCCAATGAACACAGGACGAACAAGGGTCCCGATAGTCTCTACTGGCCAGGTCCCTAATAGTTTCTACTAGACATATTTCTGGTTACATCCATGTCTAAAAGATCGAGAATTAATCAAAGACCTTTTAATTGTGAGGGTATCAAAGACTGGATCAACTTCCCTCAACATGATGCAGAAACATACGAGGCACATGTGGGGCATCCGCCCGCTTCAGCAAGTTTCCTTCACATCACGCCGGGGATTGCTTGCTTCCTGCGACAGGAGGCAAGTCTTTCCTTCAGTTCCAAATGATGCGAGAGGCGACTTCGTCCAGGCGATTCGGGAAAACGGCGGCGTTTCTCAGACGACTGGTGAGTGGATCGCCTCGTGCCATTTGTCTGGATGTCGAAACAGGATTTCCTGCAAGAAGCTGCGCATGGCAAGCCCAGCATCCCAAGTGCACCGTTCAGTTGGTGAGGCTTGTAGAGTCTTGACAAGACACCAGAACATCAAAGTGGCCTTTTGTTTAGATCCAATGTACTTTTGGAAGGTGCTTGGACCCCCGAAACCTGAAAGAGTCTCAATCCAACCTTCCTCGGATGCATATAATTAATGATGTGTTCCCTTAAAGACGAGCAAACCTTTGCAAAAAGCAACAACCACACACAGGCACGCTTTCCGCGTCGAAAACGGCAACGCGAAAGACACGAGTTAACAGTTACCGCCAGGGATTTGCTGATCTCCTCTGCTCGCCTGGACGTGGACAAGTTGGACTTCACCTTAGACGAGCGCTGGCTGACCCCTCTGCAGACCTGGCTTATGCACATTTCCGGCCAAGGCGCGTTTGGACATCCCGATGCGTCGGTTCGGACACGTCAGGTGTCGGGTTTTCCATCGAACGATACTAAGGCAAGCTTCGGAGTCAGAAGTGTTTTTTTAGACTCATTTCCAACAGACAATGGGCATGCGGCCATCACGCAAACGCACCCCAAACAAAGCTATGCATGATGGGGGAAACCAGGTGTTTGCTCAACCTGAGGTATACCTGCAATTTACTCAGTCCACTCTAGAGTCTTGCAGGCCGTTTCGGGAACGTTGTGGAGCTTGGATGTTTGGTGCTTGGATGGTTTTAATTAGGCTACTAGTAACAAGAAACTACTAGGGGCTCCCAAGGTTTTGTCGTGGTATTCTGACCGTACGTACTCGTACGTACTATATCTCGAGTATGTGTATTGCAGGAATATGCAGGAATTGCAATGAAATGAATCAATGGGTTCTTATCCCAAGGGCTCCAAATACCCCTCCAGGAGGTTGCCAGACCCTCCAGCGTATCCAAAACGCCTTCTCAAGAAGTAATCAGCTGGAGCTTTGGGATACATCAACATCGTGGGTGATTATCTGATTGGTGACACTTAAATATGGCTCAACCAAGGCAATGTCATGCCTGCAGGTGGTTTTCAAGGCATTTGCACATGTGTCTGGAATTAGGGTTTCACCCAGAATTTATCCTCCTGTAGCTGTTTTTCCAGATGCCAGGGTTCTTCAGTTCCTTTCCTGATTTAGGATGATTTGGCTTGGGTACGTTTTTGTTGCCGCGAGGATTGACACTCTTCAAGGATACAAGTTCCATCAATTTCCCTGGGTCCCACCAAAGAAATTGGGTTCTGAGTCTACAGTGCTAAAGCCTAATAAAGTATACCTTGCGATGATGCATGACGGTAGTTTCAAATTTGTTTCCCGCAATGCCTAAGCAGTATATGAAGATGTTTTTTGTATCTTAAGATGAGAATGCACTGGCCCTATAGGTCCCAAGCGGGTGTTCATTTACCCTCGTATCAAAGCCAAGCTTGCCCAGCAATTTGGTCGATTCATGAAGCCAGATGCGGTACCGCATGAACATGTGGATGATACGTTTTGAAATCGATCCGGTGGTACGTTGAATACTTTGACATTCAGTCATGCATGACATGATATGTTGTTTTCTTGCTTGTATCTCTGTAATATTTTGCAGAGTTCAAAGACAAGGAAACATCAGAAACTAGACCTTGTTCATCCTTTTGCGATGCACCAATACCTGCCAAGGAGTCATGAATATCCGTCCAAGTATCGTGGAAGCAGCCAATTTTTATCCTTGGAGGGCTGCTTTCTACTTTCCCCAAGAACAAACAGTGCAGTGTTTGCTTTTTTGTTCCGCCACACCGCTGTTGGAACGTCAAGTCGGAGTGAAGCCTGAAGAACATTGAAGAACCCTTGGCTCGGCGAATGAGCAAGCTGGATGTCCCTTTGGGGGTTTCAACGGGGTCACCAATGGTATTCTGATGTATTCTGTATTCTATTGATCTACCAAACATTCAAGAATGGTCAACTCAGGGGCCCAGATTGGACCTTCGTCTCAGGCGGCTTCGACTTGTTCGGAGCTCCGGCGTCGGAGCTGCTGGCGAAAGCGGGGAAGCCGATCACGGCCACCCGGTTTGCATAGTAACCCCGAAGAATTTTGATCGAAATATATTGACACAATGAAAAGAATGGGCTTCCAACGGCAATGGTTTGCTCTATGATTTGCCAATTTACTAAGCATTGATGGAGTTCAGCTCGAAAGGATCAATGTTTGCTCCCAATCCTCATCACTATCTCTTGGAGCCTTGGACAAGGTTGGGGTGAAAAGCTGCAGGCAACCCTACTGGATCCCGGTATCAGTATGCAGCCCCTTCTTGCCGCTTCAAACGCTATACTTCGATCCAAAGAAGCTTCTCAATTATCAATCTTTTGGGGGGGGATCAAAAGACATCCATCAAGGGGATATCAATGGGAGTTTCAAGGAATTTCAGATACCAGATGAGACCACATGATACGGAGTACAACTGAGTAAGGTTCGATGATGACCCGTCATGGACCGTCATGTCTTCAAGGATGGCTACGTGGCTCCTCCAGTGCCTGCTGTGGTCCAGGCCCAAGGTGTGAAGATCAGTGCACTGGACACCACCGTCGCTGGGCGCGCACGCCTGAAAACCGCGCGTAGACCGCGTGCTCGCGGCGTGTCCAGTCCGGGAAGGGCCGGAGGGGTTCGAGTTTTCTGGCGGAAGCATCGTAAAAGCACCTGAGGTTCGGGTTAGACGGGGAGGTGAGGTGAGCCGGTTTTTTCATTAGTCTGTTGATCCACCAGACTTGGAAGACTGTTGGAGACGGCTTTTTGGCTGATACTGCTGGCCATTGGGGGGGCAGTTGACCTTGCTAAATTTTAATGCGTTGCAGTAAACAATTTCTTGTTGCTTCTCAGGATTCTTGACACAAACCATGGCATACCCCTTAGCGATTCATGCTAAGCCCCAAGAGTCCAAGAGTTTTAAATTGGGTTTTCTCGGGTGGACAAGCTCGGTCCTTCCAGCACATTCATACAGTCAGTAGGTCCCAAGGTGTCCCAAGATGTCCCAAGTAAAGGAAGCTGAATGACTTCCAAGGCCCATATCTGATCGGCTTGTGTACCGCGTAATTATTGAATCTTGCTCAATGTTGGGTCAACAGGGGGGTGTGCCCGGAAAGCAAACGTTTCCGATCACGGAACAGGGTTCTCCCTGGGGGTGAGGGGAGGGTTGGGGGTGGGACAGTTTCATTTCCGCCGTCGTGACGTTGCATTCGCGGTTAATTTGATCTTCGCGTTGCGCTTTTGGGCGTTGCGATGCGAAGCTGCAACAAGAGCACGTTGAAGGCCTCGCAGCATTGTGGCTGAGCCAACATCCAGGGTTGGACTCAATGCTACAGGATGTGAAAATACACAGAGACAAGACACTTGTCCGCCAGCTCAATGTACAGTGAGCTGTCAGGGCTCAATTGGGAAGACGACTCATGTCGTGGCGCATGGGACTGACGGGTCTTTGGATGGTCTTAAACATGCACTCAAGTTATCATCTTCGAGTTAGTGAACTCCAAGACGAGTTGAGTGTCCCGAAACCTACAATGCTCCTATAAAGCGCATTGTTTTCTGGCCCTTTGCATGTTGCAGTCCGGGCAAATCCCCCCCGTTTACCCTCCATGTTGTAAGTTTGACTTTGCCATATTTTGCCGTTGGCTGAGTCCTCAACCCAGCGACTCCTTGATTCCAAGGCTTTGGTCATGCATAAGGCCCGGTAAAGCGTGGTTTTCACATCGCTTGCTATGGTATCATGCTCACATGCTAAGGAGTTTGTGTTTTTTGAACTTGAAAAGATTTGTTGAGCATAGTCAGAGCAACTGTCACCTGTTATTCACACTCGGCCCCTTTTATCAGTGCTATTACATTCACATTCACACTTCAGTGGTATCCACGGACCCGTAAGGCACTCAACCCTCAACAACAGTAGAACCCAATATAATATTAAAAGTCGACGGCGAAACATGTTTCTCCAGCAGTCCGGCATTTTCGGACCAGCCAGTGATTGCAGACGCACGCACACTCAGGTTTGGTGCAGCCTGCGGCTGAAGTATTTGGAATTCCTTCCAGCCTACATTCGGGCAGTGCCCTTCTTGCAATGGAGTCCGATCGCGAGCTGTAGGGGATTACATATTGGACACCATGTTTGCTAGCGTTTTGTTTTGCACCTGTGTTTTATGGTGTTTTTCGTTGCCAGCAATTGATATTTCAAGTTCGTTGGAAAACTCCTGGTGCAGGAAAGGGGCCATCAGTGTGCTCCCACTTGGGCGCCGAGTTTGGGGACGAACGGATTTGGATGCCCCAAAAACGTAGGACAAAACACACGGAACATCTTAGGAGTCCAAACGCGCCGGTGTTTTTGTGTTCAACCCTCTAGCCTAATAGCAATGGCCTTCAACATACTAGCGATGGCCTCCAACTTGAGAGCGATGGCCTCCAACCTAAGAGCTATGGCCTTCAACATTTTTGCAGAAAGTACAAATGGAACACCTTGAGTCGTGGGTGACGCCAGGTGTTCTCAAAGAAATCATTTTGGATGGAAAGTGACAGAAACAGATACGTGCTGATACGTGATGTATGGTCAAAATATATCAGCATAATTCAACATATGTCAATTGTTCGCTTTGTGATCTTGAGTTCCTCACGAAACGCTGCAAAATAGTAGACCATCGATGAGCGAAAAATGAAAAATTCCGTATATAATACATACTGTATATATATATATATACCGTATATACATATAGTAATATGGTTTATCCTTTGGTTGGAGCGTGAAACATCGTGAACCGTGCTCCGTTTGTAGACCTTTTCAGCCTCTTTTCTTGGGCCCGGGCCGTGCTGAGGCGGTGAAGGTCTTTTCAGCCAGCAACTACTTCACCTTGGATGGAGTTTCTGGGCGCCCGCAAGAGCGAGTTGTTATTTCCTCCCCATGCCACTGAGAAGGCTCGAGGTAAACCAAAAGCCAAGTTGAATGCTGGTGTTGGTTTGGAGGTTCACTGCACTGGCAATGACATGAAGTCTAGAGTCTAGAGCTTAGAAAAGGAATCTTCCAGCCCTGGGCAAATCTTATATGAGCAGATGCACCTTTTGGCACTAGAATATCCGTCTAGTCTAGCCTTCTGAAATCAGGGCCACACTATCAGGAATTCCTGGAGGGACGATTGAGAGTCAGTGGGGTCTCCCCTTGTTCCAATATACACCAGGTTCTTTGTGTGGCAAAGCCACGAGCTATGCTTCACACACTGAGGTCTCTTTAGCTTTGCCTGCCAGGGAGTTGGAACCTCACCGTGGATCCTTGCAGGACGCTTGGCTACACTAAACACTTGTGCAGCGCAAGAGGCGCCATGGAAGCAAGCTGTGAAGAGGTGCAAACAAGTATGTATTTATGCCATGATGTTATATATATATATACATACATATGTATCAATGTATTGGGTCTGTCCTATTACCGGCAACAGTAAGTAAACAGGTATCACTGACTGCTTTAGAATGAGGCCTTTATCATCATCTAGTGTTACTGGTCATAGGATAGACCCAGTAATTATTACATATATCATGTATATATTAAATAATATACAGTGGTCTCAGAGTAGATTGCACAACCCCCAACATGTTTTTTGTTTTAATATATATATATATATTGTTTTTCTTTTTTTAATGGGGCTCATATATATCACATTTTGGGGATTGTGTCATCTACTCTGAAACCACTGTAAATCCATGTGTTGCGGATACTATAGCAAATTCTCCACCGTATGACCATCCAAACCAACCACGAAGGCCGAGCGTCAGGTATGTGGATCACCGACCGACATATTCAGATCCCTGCAACCAGTGTTGGTATCTTGGTGGAGCCATGAAACGTTGTAAATCAACCTCCGGGGGTCCAAGCTCTCTTACGGAGTGAAGGAAAAGGTAGAATGGGAAAGGATTACCAAAACAATTCTTTGCTATGTTCTTGGTTTTCTGCGGCCTCTCTGCATTTTGAATCTTGAACAAGAACAAGTCCCGGGCCTAGAGCCTAGAGGCCCAGGCAACCAAGTCCGGCAGCTAGGCATGTTGAGCTTTGTTGGGGGTTGATGCCGCTTGCTGTCAGAACTTCTACTGACCAGCAAGAGCAGGCAATGGCGATCGACTTCCTTTTCAGGGTTTTGAGAAAATGACTACTGTAAGTTGCGAGTGACAGAAATCATTAATCAGTGGGACCGAGCAAATAATTTGGAAGTCCAGTGCTGATTTGGGAAGACATAGGGTGCAACCTTATCTTCCCACTCTGTTGTTCATTCTCCCCAAACATGGGAAACTGATGGAAAGTGTCGTGCGAAGCGAGTTCATTTCTAAGATGCGACTTGAGAATCCACTGCTAGGACTATACTACAGCGATCCGCGCTGACTACAGCAGATCCGTTTTGTCGCATTTGGCCTCCCTCTTGGGCTGCCCGGCGCAGGGAGCGAGGGGAGCGAGCGAGATGGGCAAGGTAAGCAGTGCAAGGGTATCTTGGGGCCTCACCGATGTTCATGGGGAAACACTAGACCAACACGCACCCACAGGAGCCCCTTGGGAAAGTCCCCCATGATGAAATCACCAGGATTATCCCAGTTGCTGTTCACAGGGTGAGTGAGTCTTCCCGACCTTACAGTCACCATGGCATTGCCGAAAAACGTGTTTGAATTATTTTTGCGGGTTGTCCCAACTAAAGTTCCAGGGTGACACATGAACTCCACAGAAAAATAACCCAAGCCAAGCCAAGTGATGCGTTTGTCGGGAGGACAGTTTCTGCTTACGGGCCAGGTCGGAATGCCAACTTGACGTAGGCATCAAAGAAAATCAAAGAAACGTAGTTTTTTCACTTTGGCTTGGTTTTGGCGGTCTTATTAAACATGTTTGTACGGTTTCGGCTAGTACATGCGCAAGATAGAAACCAAAATCTTATGTTGGTTTAGGTTCGCCTTTCTGTACGAAAGGAACCCCATGAAAACACACATTGCTTTGCAGTGGATTCTGCATTGTTTTTGCCGCAAGCTTATCTCCAGGGACAGCCCACCACAGCATGAGATTCATGAGATAGCCAGACAAGTACAATCCGGGTCTTGAAGGTGTGAAGGTTCACAGCACTGGCCTGCCGAAAGGTGATCGCTGTGTGCCAAGTTGTTTCTCAATCCACATACGAGTCTTGGGGCATCAACCTTCAGTGAACAGTAACACTTGATTTGGAAACACTCCAGCAGAGGATTAATGATCATTTCCCTGTAACCATTGAGGGTTCTCGTGGGAAAGGTTGGGATTCATGTACGCAATGCACCACAGACAGAAGCACGTTTTTCAGCGCAGCTTCACGCAGAAACCAATGGCAATTTCCTAAATATTCTACTGTGGGAACTGCAAAACAATGGTTGGGAACATTCTTGCTGACCAGCTTCACACATCTATGAGGGCTTTGTTCAAAGTGCTTGTGTTGCAATAATATGACCTATATGGGTCAATACTATTTTTTGTTGCAAGGGTCTTTTTCCTCACTACATACTTGGTTCAAAGGTTCACCAGAGTGAGCCAAATGGTTTGAAACAGCGGTCCAAATTCCGACTACTGTGAGTTCCTATCTCTCAGACTGCACCTTGGGCCCGACACATCCTGAGGAAATTGAAAATTAAGCACCGTGCTACGATGCTCCCAAAAGCTTTTGGTTCTTGGGCATATGTGTAAAGTACATATATATATATATAACCCTTTTCTCTGCATCTCAATCTCTATCTCTCTACCTGATCTCTATCTATGTCCACTGTGTCTACGCCAATATAGTGAAATGAAAGAGCACAAACTGACTGTACAATGGTACTTTCCGAAACTCAAGTTGGCTGCCAAAAGACTACTCCCTGGTCATTTCTGATCATTTCTGGGTGTGTTTGAAAGACAGTTTTGAGGATTCGACCCACAATTTAATGACTTGTCCTTCGTGTTATTAAACATGAAGGAGCAGCTAGCTCCCAATCGTTCAAGTCGACATGTAAATTATTCTGGACACACAAGTTCCCTCTAACTTGGGGAGAAGAGGTGGACATGGACCTGGCAAGAGCCATAAATAACCATATCCCTCAAGTTTCTTGGGACATATCCTTTGTTTGGTGAAACTGTGTGTTCTTCATATCATTTGTTCATGACTCACCGAAGATTTCCCGGCGCAGCCAAATCTCAGTGGAGGAAACCACAACATCCACTGTCAGGTCCGGATCAGCTGTGGGTATGTAGCAGGTTTCCGTGTTGTAATATTTGTTTGGCAGCGAATCAGCGATCCTCATGAACTGTGAATTGTGCCTGAGGCAAGAGTTCGTTGCTAAACCTGCCAAAGGCAAGGATTGCGGAGATGGTTTGGATTGATGGGAGTGAAGGGCCCAGAGTTTGACTCCCCAGCACCCACCCAAACTGCATGAACCTTTGGTCATAGAGATGCTCAATCGAATGTGCAAAGGGGTTATTGAAGGGTCATTGAAAGGTTCATCGTTTCCATGCGTGATCATGAATCACGCTCCAGCTACCTAACTTTCCGGTCTGTACCAGATGGGCTGTGAAATGGAAAAAAGAAACATTTCGGATCCATACATCTATGCTTTATGTCATTGGCTGCCAGCAGTTGGCCTTCAGAACTTCAACACCAGCACGCATCGTACTTGCCAAGAGCTTCACCTAGAAGATGTTTTCCCCGTGTCCGAATTGTTGCGGGAATGTGGCGAATACAAGTAAGGTTGTTTCTTAGCCATTCACGAGGGTTAACCAAGCATGAAACACGCCGAAAAGCATCCAGAGGTTTTGTCCATCAAGTCGATTACTTTTGTGTCATTTGTTGGCGTTTCAAGACTTTCGCACACCAGAAGCTCTCAGAAAGGATGTCATGCTTTAAACCTGCACCTACATCCTTGACCATGAGCCTCAAGAATCACCATCAATCGATAGGCAATTGCCATCGGCCGCCCTTTGCCAGGCACCGCTCAAGCTGGGTGGTGCAGCTGTGGCGCTCATGAGTGATGGTTTGACGGATGTCACCGAGGGCGCGGTGTCCATGCTCCGGACCGGGTTCGGGTGGAACAGGTGGAACGGTTCGAGGTTTGGTCCAGTGGCAAGCTTTAGGCACAGCATGGCACAGCCACGTACCCATCTACTTTGCAGATAATGAAATGGCTGGAATGCTCTCAAGATAGGGGCTTACAGAGTCTTGAGATGGAAAGCTCCCAACAATCCAAGCGGCATCCTGCTTGGGGGTTGCTCTCTGGTTGTACCATCTCTAGGGCCTCTAGGGTGTTTTTCAGGAATGCACGGGTTTCTTGCATATTTCCAGAAGCTCACATGGCAGTGGAACAAAATCAACCCAACTTGTTGCTATCATGGTTCAAGGAGCCTTGTTTCACAAATACCATCATTGTTCCTCCCAGAGTTGCAAGAAACACAATCCATCACCCCCGTCCAAACCTGAACAAACGAGTTCTCAGCGACTTAAATTCTGCGGGATACTGGGGTCTAGCAATTCCACACCAGTATAGTAATTCTTACCCACACCTGGTTTCGTGGATTGCACTTCCTTCAGTACACTGACCAGAGGAATCTCACAATGGACGAGGAGTTTATCGAGCGGAAGAACAGAGACTTGGGCAGAATATGGAGGGTATGTTCTATTGGTCTTTGGGGGGCCGAAGACCCAAATCCTCATAGGTTGGTGGGAAAGGGATCTGAGTCTTTAAGCAAGGGATCCGAGTCTTTAAGCTTATTCACAGTCTATGTTCCTTCCATCAAGTGCTTCTTTTTGCATTTCCCCTTCAAGTGTGTTCCCCTTCTCCATTTCCTTTCGCCTTTCAGGAACAGATGATGGGCCTTTGCAGGTCCAGATTGTTGACCCGTGCAGTTCTGCAACCGAAAGCAGACCCCTCACACTGCCACTAAGGATCCAAGGGCCAAATCCAAGGAGCTGGTCAAGGCTTTGCTGCTGCTGGAAAGAGCTTGATGGAAGGCACGAATGAGAAGATGTGATGGTGCCACATCAATGACCCTGAACTTTTGATTTTTGGGCCCACCAGAGAAAAAGCTGCTGTGATGATTTCTGTTCCGTTATTCCTTGTCCAATGCATGTTATTTCAAACTGACCTGCTCTTGTCTCTGGTCATACGTGTCCCACCTGTTGTTGTCTCTTCAGTCAAACATTCCCGGTCTTCACCTTGGCACTGATCCATATATATATATATATATCTTGGATTATCATCCGCCCATCAAGGATTCCACTCTATATACAAAGAATCCTTGTCAACATGTGTTATCATTTGTTGAAGCGCTTCAACTTTTGATCACAGCACTTGTGATCTTTGGGGCGTTTCAAAACGAATTGGCCCAGATGACACTCTCATCAGGTGTGGAGGGCATCTTTGATGTGGTCAGGAAGCCCGTCGAAGGAGCCCAGACCGGCGGCATCTGGGGATTCGGAACAGGCGTGGCTCCATCGGAATCCTTTTTTGGTCCGATCCGCAGGCGGCGGAAACAACTCACCAAACGACGTGTTTGTCGCAGCTTTGGAAGGTTCCTCCAGTGTTTGGAGGTGTGGCTATATGGAGATACTGATCTTTACCGAATCTATGGCGGTGTGCTCGTATTTCTGATTGGCCATTTCTACAACAACAGTGCTAGTGTCGAATGACCTGAACCACCAGACTTGGCGTTGAACACACAGTTGCATTATTTACCCAATCGATTCCAACGTTTGTATCATCCGGGAGGTGGTAGCAGGTCTATTGCAGGTCCTTCGGAACACTTGCCTTGCCGAGCCGCATGTTTCAATGAGAAAGTCTCTTACAAAAGGGACTGACTTGAGTTTCAATGAGTTAGCTTTTCTCACCTGAGATTCAAGGTCCAATGTTCGCTTTGGTGTAGAAGAAAAACGTGTCATTTGCTAGGCCTCGCCAAGGGCGCGATGGGTACCTTAGTGAAGCCGGTGGCTGCGCTGGGCACGGCCGTTGGGGAGGCTTGCTGTGGTGCGGAAGAGAAGGGCGGAAGTGTTGGAAGGGCGAGAATGATTGTGATTATATATACGGGATTCTTTTTGTTCTCGCAGATCTAGATCAGATGATGCTTGAGGTTTGATGATATTTACGGTGTTTGAGCTTAGTATACGGACGGCCAGTCCAACCGCTTTTTGAGGATAAAGTTCAAAGTTTGATCCAAGGGAAGGATTTGGGGGGATAAGGGTATGAGAAGCAGGGCTCGGCCGGCAGGGTGGAATCTTCGTACTCTTTATTCTGGATGAACAAATGGGGACGGGGCTGGTGAGGATTGGGATGTGGTGGGGCAGACTCTTTTGTCATGCACTGCGTATTTGTCATTTTGATATGCCAACCCAAGAAGTTGGAGATCCCCTAACCCTCAGAGTGGATGAGAATTGAGTTTTCAATCCCCACATTGAAGGGTAGCTGCAAGGCATAACCATGCGAAGTGAATCGGATCAATTGAACGGGATGTTTGCATAGCTGACGAGCTGACGGGCCGGCCAAGGAGCCATAAGTCACCGGTCTGTTTGGGCCAGAGAAGGCCTCCAACTTAGCGAAGCCGCTCATGATGTTCATGCAAGATGCAAGGACACCCTTCTCATAAGTTTGGTGACATGCGAGGTGGGAGCCAAGGTCATTTGTCGAACCAATTTGAATAAGACTTGTGAACAATCAAAGTATATTCCAACTCCAACAAGAACTGCCAGTTTTCCAGGACGCATTGTTTCTTTCACAAGCCTTGTGAATGGCAGAAGATCGCAGAAACAGTTTATCCCCTGTACAGGTGGCCGATGGACTGGCCTCCACCAGCAACCAGCTCAACGTCAATGAGGTGTCCATGGCGCTGGTAGAAATGTGTGTGGACCTGCGGGTGTGTTTGCATGTGGGCGTCTAGGTATATGAAAAGCAGGGAAGATCCAGCTTACTGAAGAAGTGCTTTGGGATCCAAGAAAGAAGCGGGGGGTTGGACGTTTCCGATGGCACCCTGCCTGTCATGCACCTATAGCTTGGGAGATGCTATGTTGTGGTTTCTCACCTAGTGGCTTAGCGGCCGGGGGTACGAATGGCCGATGAAGCATTAAGCTCCTAGTAGCGTCCTTGCTCCTAGTAGCGATGCCCTTTGCTCCTAGTAGCGTCCTCTATAGGAGCAACGTTTCCATTTGCCGAATCGGGCTACCCCATATTACCCCTACGGGATGGGTGCAGTTCTTCCTAGATGTTTGGTCTTCAACAAGAATGGCCCTTTGCATTCAGTGACCCTTTGAGGTGCTGTGGCTGTTACTGTATATACTTTGACAATCCACGTAGACAGATGTTTGACCCCTGAAACGGCCCAAACAATTCCAAGATACTTAAGTATTATGTAGCTATACTGAATTCCAGCAGTTGTATGGGTGTTCAGTTTTGAGTCATTCCCCTCAATTGCTGAACCAAGAGTTAGTGCAATGGAAACAAGACCTTTAATAGAAGAGGACTAGTTCCCAAGGCCGCGAATGAGCTCCTTTCACCAGCTTCGTCACATCGATGCTTTGCCTTTCAGGGAAGTGAGCGGCGGCGGAACCGCCGGCGTCTGCGGCTTCCACGGCTCCTGTACGGCCACGTGGGTTCAAGAGTGGACCGACCTGAGTGGTCTGAGCACATGATCCTGGACCCTATAGAACCTACGGGTAGGCTAGCAGGGCCTGGTAGGGTTGGAATTCGATCGTCCGGTCTAAGGGAGACCTGATGTTTGGTAAGTTGAGGGTGGTAAGACTAGTAAGATTTTGTCATGAACCGTCCAGAGCCACGTTTGTTAAGAGAATTGTTCAGCAGGCCTGCCACGAACAGTGTCGACCGGTCCAGCGATGTAAACCTTACAGCTCCTCACAGCTAATCTATCTCAACATGTTCATGTTGAACCCCCATCTCATCTCTATCATGTCTTAGCTTTCAAGTGATAGAGGATATGGCTGTGGGCCATCCTTGACCACCGAGAATGAACATGAATAGACTACTAAGAAGGTCAATCTACCAGAAAGAAGCGGGATCCGGGTTTTTGACCCACAGCTTATTGAGCCTGCAGGCACACATTTGGAAAAAGCAGAGGAAAGATACGACAGGGGTCTCACAGCTTGGGACTCGGAACACACCGGGGCCTCCAGACCCCCGCCAGTCATAAAGAGTAAGTCAGTAAGTAAGTGTTTAATATATACATATATATATAAGTATAGATGTAGATCATTAGTTTATAAGATAGCTCAAGCCTTAATTAAGATAATATGTATAGCACTGCAGTTTGGAGATGTGCTCAGAGGTTGCAGCAGAAACTATCAGGTTGACAGAAGTGCCAGCAGTTCTCCTTTTCGACGTGATCCATGTTTGTCCACCGAAAGGCCATCCGTGGATGCGTTTAGAAACATCTAGAAACATTCAAATCCACCCAATATATTCCAATATCATATTCATATCCATTCAAATTCCTTTGGAACCTTTTTGTTTAGTCTTTGTCCCCTTATCAGGAGGTCTTGTTTGACTAGGTGTTTGTTTGTGCCTACGACGCTAACCGGGGAAACCACAATTTTTACAATCTTTCGTGCTTGGAAGACGTTTTTACAATTTGGGGCACGCGCGCGGGGCCTACGAAGTTTAGCTTCGTATGCATACACACTGTGTTCATATGGAAGGGTGATGGGGTAGGCTGGGGTCTAATTTTCTACACTTGCACGCAGCCGTTTCACACACAGCCGCAATCATGCAGCATACTACCGAACTTTGTTTTGCATTGTGTCTTATTCTCTTTTGCGTCTAGGCCCTAGGCCGATACTTTTCCGTGTTCGAGGTCCACCCTGTGTTGATGATTTTTGTTCGCGATGGATTTGTAGGTTTTGGACTCTCCCTTGGACCTTTTCACTCAACCATCTGACCCTCTTGCGGACTTCGTTTCAACCACTGTTACCATGGTGGACAGAGGGCCGTTGGACTGGGAGGGGCTAGGTGGTTGCTGTGGGCTCTTGTGGTCAATTTGGGCTTCGCACTTCACGTCCTTACTTCACAGACGTGCGTCGAAACTCTATGTTGTATCTTGTTGCGCATACAAAAATTGTCACGACGTTTACTAGGTCTACGTACTCGTATAGCACCTGCCATGGAAACGAGTGGAGCTGTGCCTACAGCTTTCAGTTTCGCTGGAACGCACAGGGCGATCTTTGGAAGGCTGTCGCCCGCTTGATCCGCTGAAGAAAAGAAACGTCGCTTTCGCCTCGGCCCTTCTCCGAAACAACCTTTTCTCCTCAGTCACCCTGGCACAACAAGTGCCTTCTATACTGGGCCTGCCAGTACAAACACAAGGTGACCTATTAAGAGCCTATCTCGAAAAACACCAAAAGCCCAGGGTATTGACCGCTTTGCATTTGATGTGTTGCAGAGAAAGCGTCGATGCCTTTATGAGGTGAGCTGGGCGAAGTGCGACCCTTCGTGGACATCGATGCCCAGCTTTTCCAGAGGCCGTGCTGGGCATGTGAGTTTGAGCAGAACAGCCACAAAACACACCTTTAAAGGCTGGAAAGTGATCCATTGTATAGATCTTTTGAAGGATGGATGCAGGGATGTTGAGATTTGTATTTCTATGCTTTAGACCACACCGATTCGAGGACAATAAGCTTTGACTTCTGGAACTTGGGTTTCTAGTAATTAACAAGCTTCTCATGGGCAGCATTATTGGACTAGAAGGGGTCTACTTGCTAGAGTACTGTGTTGACTTGTTAGTCATCTATGGACATGGCAATCATCGAAATGTGACCTAGCGGCAAAATGTTCCAGCCCATCCAATAATCCTGCAGATCTTCCTCAGCGACCACCATTGGATCACGATGGACCACAGGAAAAGCAATGATCAAAATCATATAAGCCTGCTAGTTCCTGCCAGGCTAGTATCCCGAAACCTTCGTCGTTCTCGATCAGTTTGAGTCCAACCATCAAGCAAGCATAGCCCTGGAGCCCCGAGCTGGCTGAAGGGAATCTTCCAAAGCCTCCAGAGGCTCGAAACAAACTGCTTGGGGAAGGGTGGGGGAGGGCAATGTAATCCGACCCATATCGAGTCCAATCAAAGATCGGTCCGTGACCCTCCAAACGGACCCTGTGATCGAACTCCACGTCATTCCGGGTTGGCCATGTGGGTGTTGCCCCACCAGTTCAACCTTCGGCCAAAGCGAACATCGATCAGGACGCCGCAAAAACATCACTCCTCCAAAGACAAAGTGGCATTGTTTCTTTATTGCCACTTCTGGAGAAAAGGTTTTTTCTTTGCATCCGGGGTTCCAAAAGCAATGGGTGTTCTTACATCTCTTGCATTTGGCCTGGGGACCTGGTAGCTCAGCGACCTGATGGGCTTTACAGCAGACTGTTGTGAGGAGGCCAAATGTGACAAAGAACATGTGTCTGCATTTGTGCCGAGGAACTACCTGAAAATCCTTTTCATTCACTGACTTACCCATAGTATAGGTTTAATATATATATATATATATAGTATGTTTATATATTATATTTTACTATAGAACGAAAGGCCCACAGGGTGGGCTGGTTTTTATTCAAACTCCTTCACGTTCCTGCGCTAGGCTTTCGGTAGCTTTTGTTTAGGGGTCCGGTTGATAGTAGGATACGGTCCAGACTCAGTGTGGATTGGCTTCCACCAAGTGGTCCTTGGTGCTCGTCGCCGGCCGAGAGTGAGCAAGGGGGCAAGTTCAGTGCATGGCAAATGTTCAGGGCTGCAGCTGCAGCCTCGCAGGGACTTCTTGGCTCGGATGGGGCAGGCTTCTTACTTGAAGAACGATGGGCCGAGAAGAGTCCCTGCCACCTGTCACTCAGTTGCCAAACCCTCAGGTTTGCAGAGCGAAAAGAACTGAGATGGCCTTTAACTTTTCCAATGATGCAGATTTGCATTTAACCCGATGTTCTTACCAGGTCCGAAGCAGAAGAAGACCTTCAGGAGCCAAACCCCAGCTCGCTGAAGGTGCCTACCATCTCGAACTTTTCGTTTTCAAACCATGACCCAGCAGAATGACCACAGGTCGCAGGGAAGAATCAGAAGAAGGTCTCTGAGAACAAAAAGAAGAAGGCCTAGTTATGTAGAGTCTTTTTTGGGGGGAAGGTCCTCTGTGTTGAAATCGCAGGTTTCTTTGAGGAACTGTTCCAAGGCTGAGGCTGGTCACCGGTCTGCCCTTTTTTCTCGGTTCTTAACGAGTTGTTTTGAGATGATGTCATAGTTGTTTTCTAACAAGGTCCGGATGATGCAGAAGATGGCGTACAAAGCTAACTGTAAGGCCACCGGATTGATTTCTTGAGCGGTGCTAAATTGTTTTTTTAAGCAACGTGCCAGGTGCCGATGCACGGGGTCGTCTCTAAGAATCTCCTGCGGTCCGCCCGTGTACCTTTGAGCAGAACAAAACCATTGGGGCTCCATGTGGTTCGGGGCCCATTCTTTTTACATGTTCAGTCAATGTATTATGTACAGCATAAATTATTGTTTTTGTGCACAAATAAGGTTCGGAAGGTGAAGAAGGGCATCAAGAAGAATGGGGCAAAGATTTTTACCGGAACCAGAGTGTTCGCTACATGGGGGTCCATAAGCGCCTTCCTCATTTTTTGGGCAGATCATATTGTTTTTGAACGTTTGGATTGAATTTGCTGAGGGTGTTTCTCAGCAAGCACCACTGCGACGACAAGTGATGTAAGCGAGAGGGGAATCAGTGTGAGGTCCTGAGTTGTGTGGTTTTGAATTTGTGCTGGCTGACATGGACATAATGTTTTGATACACTCAGGATCTGGCCAATCAGATTCGCCACTCCACACTCTATCGGGATGCTTTGGCCAAATCAGGGAAATCGCCTGGCCGTTTTTTGACCGTCCAGGCCAGTGAGTGGTTCAGCGGGTTGCCACGCAACTGGACGTCTCCTCGCAGTGGAGACGTGGACGCGAGCAGCCTGTCTTCCTTTCGAGCTGGTGTTTCGCCAGCTGACACACCCAAGGCTCAGATTTGCTGGCACTTTTGGAAATTAGTTGAAAGTTGTGGGATTTGAAACATGGTTCTGACCCTCATGAACGTAGCGTGCTTCCAGGTGAAGATTGGGGCTGTATCTCTTTTTTCAGGAGTGGGCGGACTAGAGTTAGGTCTGCAGGGGCCTGCCTGACATGTGTTAGGTCTGCAGGGGCTTGCCTGACATGTGTTCCGACCTCCACTTTAAGTGCCTAAGCCCGACCCTGCGATTATGACATCCCATTTGGCACAAACCAGCACCAGTTTTAAAATTCAATGACGAGTCAACCTTCAGAACTTCAGAGGGGATTCACACACTTGTCCTGGCTGTGTTGGGGGGGTCTCACGTGTTAAATTCAATCTTAACTTATTTGGGAACAGCGCGCCGCCCCACCGCCATGGAGTGGCAAACTGTCAGCACAGTTGGTGTCAATCAGATTAGGTTTCTTGGCTAAGTTTTTTCTTTGAATCAGACGCAGAAATTGGATGATATGTCATTGAATGGCGGCCGATATCCGAATCTGACTCTCAGGGTGCGACTTCCTCCAAATTCGATGGTGCTATGCAAGTGGCACAGTGGAGTGCAACCTGACGTTTACAACCTGTTTACAAAGTAAGCAAGTGACATTTTTTGAGAGCCGTTTCAAAAAGACCTATTCGCTGTCCCCTTCAGGTATCTATGGAAGGGAAAGCGTTGGACAGAGTGCAGCTTGGAAGATATTCCCGAGAAAGACCGCCCATTCAAGATGAAGGACTGTCACTGTTTGACAGTTAGCTACTACCTGCTAGTATTACCTAGTTTTGGTTGCCGCGTAGACACTTAGAAACGCACGGTTGGTTAGAAAATTGTTTCCATTGCCAGGACCCTTCTCGGTCTCAGCCACTTTCAGAACCGGCCCAGAGTGTTTCCTTGGAGTGTCGTCCTGCCAAACGGGCAAGAGCGAATTGAACCCAAACTTGCACAGACCTTGGTGTGAGATGAAAGTGTTTGTCCTTCAGGTTCTTCACGCTACTTTGCATGCTTGGTCGCTATGAGCGATTCTATGTGAATCCAATAAATAAGTAGCGCCAGGCATTTCGAGATCGTGCAATGGGTCCAGCCCTCGTATTTGTTTTGTCCGTGAACAGTTGATTCTTCACCTACAATTTGATTTGCATCAGGTCGAACAAGACAGCTTTTGTCAGGAGGTGCTGCGTGCACGTATGCGAGAAGGCTCTCTACCCACGGCCCCCTTGCACGGGGATGTCAGGACGTTTGTTCCAACAGGAGCGGCTCTCAAGGCTGAAGCCCTGATTGCTGGCTGGCCCTGTCAGGCCTGGTACTTTCGGGCATAAGTCCGCAATGACAAAACACGAAACAAGAAAAATATTGCCATTGACTGTTTCTGGTCTTAGCCAGGGCCTATCCGTTTCAGGCTACCAACGTGGCCTTTCGGATGGCCGCTCAGGGCTGGTACGGAACATATTCAAGACATACGATGGTCTCCCCCATGCGTCAGGGGCCCATGGTTTTGGCTTTTAAAGCCGACTATTCAGATTACGTTTCCCTCCCACTGCAGGCACATGATCCTTTTCGAGAACGTGAAGGCGTTGTTGAGTTCTCAAACTCATTGCCGGGCAATGTTCCACTTCTTGGTCAAGGATTGGGTTAAACCTTCTTTTGGATACATTACTGTACATGAGCGGAAGACTCATGAATTTTTGACTTTAATTTAACTTTATGCTGCATTGAAACTTTGTCAGGAGACCACTCGTCGTGGCCTACGATTGCATTGGACGTCAAACAGGCTCAGCAATTGCGGATTGCCTGTCAGGGGCCACAGTCTCTTGAACCTTTTTTGAATGTCAACTTGGCATTAGGTTAATTAAAGGTCTGTTTCGTGTCAACCTCAGGCATTCAGGGGCCGAGTCTTTTTGCTGGCATGCAAGCCAGGATTTGCGTTCAAGGCGTTCATTTTTTGACAATCACGCAATACAATTCCTGTTTCGGGTTGCTTCCCATTTCCCTTTCGCACACCAAATGCACCGTAGGTGCCTGAGTTGCCATTGGACCATTGGCTGAACCAGGCTTGGAACCAGCAGGGCGAAGTCCCTGTAGAGGATTGGCTTGAAGAGTCTCGGGACAGAGAGTCCTGCGCCCGCATGCGAGTGATGGGGAACATTGTTGTTCCTGCCCAGGCAGCATTAGGAGTTGCTTCTTTGAGCAGGATTGTTCGAAGTGCTTTGGATTGATCAATCCGAAGGCTGAAACCAGCCTGCAATCTAGCGCTAATTTGTGGCCTCGCTGCTGAGTCTTGATGCCATGCATTGGCGTCAAACAGACTTAGTCTTTTTGAGTTCAGGCAGTGCAGTCACTCTCAGTGTTGCTTTCGCTTGCAGTGTGGCTAATTGCCCAAATTCACAGCAAATTAGGAAGAGATTTGCCTGCTTACGTTAGGGCTGAGCGAAAGGGAACAAATGTTCTAATAATAA